CGTTCATAAATAAATATTCGCACCAAGGTGGTGCGAATGGACAATGTCTCTACGGTAGCTCCAATCCAGCAAACAAATTATGCATGTATAATATATGGCATCACGTCATCTCATAGCCCATGAAATAGAAGCAGGAGGCTATCGATGCCAGGATACGTGATATGATACTAATACTAATGGTGCAGCTTGTGGTACGGGGAAGCGCGGATGGATCAGGCCGCGGTACGTACTGGAAACGCGGATGGTGCAGGCTGTGGTACCGCCGCGGCTCTGACCGGTGCAGTACCGGGAGGCCAGCTTGCGGAACCGGCGTTGAATATCAATATTTATCCCTCGACCTAGCAGTGGAATATCAAAATTTATTCCACGCCCGGCCGTGGAATATCAAAATTTATTCCACGCCCGGGTCTACACGCGTGACTCTGTTTCATCCAGCTCAGAATATGCCGGTTATCCAACGAAAATTTGCCTGGCCGCAAAACTCGGTCGTGGGATAAGATACTAATAGTGCGTGGGCGCTGCGCAGGATGCACAATTGGCCTTAAAAAGTTCGTGCGCTCACGTGAGCACGCTTAAGCAAGAAAGCTTCTCTCTTCCGAGCTGAGGGGGCTTCAATGCGGTTTTTTAAGTGCCGAGATTGAGGAGCTGATCAAGAGGAGAATCCTTGAGGAATCACGATGTCCTAGGGAAGCATCGCACGGATTGGTCCCTTAGACAAATTGTTGAAGCTACTAATACCTGCTCTCATGGACAGCATTACAATGGCAGCCCCCTCTTTGCTGGATCCGGGCACGGAGGAAAATGTCAACCAGGCACAGAAAGAAAGAATGAAGAAGATCCTGAAGTCTCAAATGCAGGTTCTGGTGCAGGCTAATCGCCGAGCAGAGAAGGAGGTGAGCAAGGACGCGTAAGATTAGGGTTTGCAAATTAGGGTTCTGGCTTCTTGACCATCAACGCCTATCAGCTAGCCCAACTAAGATGGTTGATCTGAGGTTGGTAAAATAGCTCTCAAACGTCTGTATTCAAACTGACCGTGATCACTTGTCAAAAGGTATCCCAGAACTGTGAGTTTTAGAAGCAGGCCCCCCAAAAACTGCAGTCCGTTTCTTAGAGGCTTGCAATAACGCCCGTATGTGTCTTGGATGAGAAAGGGTCTTCTGGATGAGCTTACTGTCACCAAGACTTGTTTGATTGATCTGAGTTTGCCCCCAGTCTCTCCCTGCTTTTTGGAGTTCGTAGCCACTGTTAGACAGAGCAGAGCATTCTCCTTGTAAGTTCACAGGACGCAAAAAGTACCATGAGGAGACTAGAATGCACATGCTCAGAAAAGGAAGAAGTCAGCAATCTGCATATGGACCCCCAATGTTTGGCTGCGAGTTGCTGAGCTGAAGCACAAGAGCTCAAAGAAGGGAACAAGGATAAAAGTCAACTGCCTTATGAGAGCCCCACTCCCCGGCTGCAGATTGCTGATTTGAAGCGCCAGGTGTCAGTGAGTAGGTGCAACCGCCTAGTAGCAGAGCTGAAGCAAGACCTGGCGGAGCAAGATCAGGGTAAGAGGGTGCCTGGGAAAGGGCTTTGCACCTTAAGTGGGAACCTGAAGCATTGGCTGTTGACAGTGAGGGGCCCCAGAAGGGGAACCTAATCCAAATCAAGTTGAAGCGGTGGTTCTGATGTGCCCCAAGCTGATCAAAGGGATTTAGGGGAGTTTTAGGGGAGTGTGTTAAAATGAAAACCCAGCTAATTCAGAAAGCTCACAAAGATGAGAAGAGAATTTTGTTTGAGATTTGCAGTCATTACTGGGTCATCGAAGTTGCGGATGATAGCCCAGTTTGTAAACCATGGTTTGTAATCCGTTGTGGAACCTTTGACCATCTTGTGCTGGCTTCCCCTTGGTTCTCTGGACCAAGGCAGACCCTTCTGGAAATATCCACTGTGGTTGGATTGAGGATATTCTGATGCTCCTTTTGCGGTTATGTCCCCCCCAAATCTTCAACACAAGCAAGGCAGTTTGAAACGCTCTTACTCTTCCCGCCATGCAGTCATAGAGGTGCTGCGAAAGGAGCTCCGCCTGCGAGGGGCGTGTGATGAAGAGGTGGGGCTCCGACCCTACATGAAGGTGTAAGCATCGAATGGACATTTCTAAGGAAACTTGTGAAATTCATTGACTTAAGCTGGGTTCTTACGAGTTAAGCCCTCGGGCAGCAGTGATGCAATCAATTAGGGGTCAGCGGGTGTGTTTCCACAACGACCAGAAAACAAGTTCGGAACTCGACAGAACTTCAACCCTTTGTTGCTCAAGTCGAGACAAGTGCCACGGAGAATCGTGATATTGACCCGATCAATCCATCATCTTGGCCCCCTTTTCGAGGATGAAACGTGTTCATCCAAGCTGGTGGGGACAGACAATTACTGATGAAGCACGTTGGGTCGTTCCCAAGTCCCCTGTGACGGCTTCATTGGTAAAGATCTCGACCTTCGTTTCAGCAAGGTTACGATTTCACCTCAAATGTCGTCGTTTGCCAGATTGACGAGGCGCTCCATCGTCAACTCTTTGAGGCGGAAAGGGCTCCGGGGGCTTCAAGAGAGCAACTCAAACGAGACGTGAGAAACTTTGACACTCTTTTAAAGAAAACAGCGGCCATGAGCTGGCTCGAAAAATTCTCGTGTCGTGCACAAGTAAAACGTTAGTCTGATCGAGAGTCTCAGATCCCTCCTCTCCTGCAAGGAAGTGACAATGTTCTTGCTTTCCGTCTCTGCGGAGAATGGGTACTGCGACAAAAGTTTCTGATTTCTTATCCAGTTGTGGCCCCCATTTTCCCTGAGGTAGTTGAGCACTGATTCTCCACATCTTCAATCAAAGTACAAGTTGCTTCTTTTCTGTCGGCAGAGGGCGCAACAGACAGCGACGAAAAGAGAACGGAAAACCAAAGAAGATTGGTCACCGAGTTCATTGCTTGCAAATGGCACGCCAAGCCTCAGCCATTGACACTTCAGCAAATGACTTGCTCGATTGGGCTCACACAGCTTCAAATTGAGCTCATGCGAGCTCGTTTCAATGAGATTAAGCAGATAGCGAGCAGATGCGCAATGAGAAGGCTACATCGTCCAACCTGGAGTCACATTGGCCTCCCGATTCCAAAAGGAGCAAAAGGTTGCCAAGGGGCAAGCCTTCGCCGCTCCATTCGAACGCTCTTTGACGACGATTCTTTCATCAATTCGCCATCTTTTGTTCTTTTCACATTCATGGACATTTCGTAACAAAAGTAGCCCCTTTGCCAAAACTCAACCTGGGCTTTAATTTGTGTTCCGTTCGATATGCAGTTGAAAGAGGTCAAGGTAAAGCAGCAAACGCTAACGCTCCAGCTGGAAAAAGAGCGCACGTCCACCGCCCGGCACGTCCACTCCGCGGAGCAAGCTAAGGAACTGGCGAGACTGGCCGTGAAACACGCAGGGAAAGCACGTGGGTTTCTCCTTCTCCTCTTGCCTGTCGTGTTTGATCCTTCCTCGTCAAAGAATAGCCCTTCCAGTCCGCTCTCCCACTTGGAAAGTCTACTTTTTGATCCTGTCGGCCTCTCGAGCGACAGTCACTGCCCGAAAGTAGTCCAAGGAGTCGCCATGAATTGCACGGTGACAGTCAAAATCGTAATGCAATTTTCAAACAAAGATTTACAAGTAGACACGGGGTCAAAGATCAACCACATCACGAATGGAGGAGCAAAAGTCATAAGAACAGATGGGTACCTTCCATCATCTCCTGAGCGAGGGATGGCCGCTTGAGAAAGGCATTGCGCTTGTGGACAGTCTATGTACATCACGTGTGAAAAAGTAACGAGTGGCAAAAATGGACACGTGGCATCATCTCCGCAGGGAACGGCGAGAACGTGGCGGGAAAGCGGGCGGCGCTGGAGGCCGTGAAGCGACTGCTCCCACTGGAAGCAGTCTCGGAGGTCGCCCAACAGGCGGAGGATGTTGTCTCAGCCGTCGATATCCGGCGGGCGGAGGAAGAGGTAAGGTCGAACGACTTCTTAGAAATACGGGGACAGGATCCAAGGACACGAATACTTTGAGTCTTTTTCTAAAGTGATCGTCACACCAGGTCCGACATATTGCAATCTGCTATGGAACCGAAGGTTCGCACTCCACATGTTTCGCACGCTTACCAACGCTGCTTGCACCCTTTTTAAGGTGTGACCTTTCAACTGCGAAGGCATTTACCACCTTAATGTGCCTCATCAGATCTTTCTCGCTTTCAAACATTGAAAGGCAGCTGTGCTTCAGGTTTCAAGTTGACCACCTGCGAGATGGGTCGATCGATGACGAATGCCTGCCCTCAGAAGTTCTCGTGAACGAAGAATGTTCCTGCCTTTAGCGAACCCTCCGGTTCTAAAGATTGGGGTCTCTTTAAGCTGAAGTTAATTGCTGAAAGAAAATCGGGTTTACGTCTTCGTTTGTTATCGACTTGTCTGGCTGTGCCACAGTCAACCTCCAATCGTACGGCTGTCTTAGAAGGTCTTCATTTCGTAAATGACCAAGTAATTCACAACAACTGTTTCTTCTGCAGAACGAAGCTGGAACGATGTCCGAGAAGGACGCAAGTCCCCAGAAGCGTTGGACGGACGGTACCATCTTGTCGCGCCCCGTCGCTGCCACAATTAGGTCGATGAAACGAACGGTGCCTTTGCAGGAGTTGATGTCTATGGTAAACAGTCTAGAAGAGATGTTGGTAAATCCACCCAGCGCAACCCATGAATTCCGGACTAACGGTTGAGCTAGTAGCGTATTTTCACGACAGCCATGGATCGATTCTTGCGGCGCGGGACAGTGGTCTTACAACCGCTGTCACCGCTTCTTTGATATGCACTGTCATAATTTGCACAGGTTAAAGCCGCGGGAGTGGCCATCAGTGCGCTTGTGCGAAGTTGGAGATGAGATGCATGATTCAAGTGTGACATTATGAGACGCAAGCGAATGCGTTGCACGCCATCATTGATATGGTCACGGTGACTGGAGCTGCCGCGCATGAACAGCTGACGAGCGTCCATCCAAGCTCCTCTGGCATGACAACAGAAAGTGTATGCACGCGCTAGCTAGCACCTGCTCGACGCCGATGCACGGCTGGCATGCATAAATGCCAATTACACGCAAGAATCTCACACGATTGACCTCCGACGCACTGAAACGTGCTAGAACACACATATGCTCAGGGTTCATACCCAATTGCGAGAGATCAAGGGTCAACATTAGCTAGCTAGCAATACCCAATGCTTTTAGTACCAATTAAGGCCGCGGATCGACGCGACCAGCGAAATGCACGAGCGAGCGAGTACTGGTCCCGCCGCCCGATTGGAATATTCTGCCTTCGTATCTCGCTGTATCGATGTCGTAGGCGCAAGCCGCGTCTCTTCAGATCTCATGACTACAATCGACGTCTTTGAAAATTAACCGCTTTGACTGTCACTGTGAGCACCTGATATTGCCAGACACCTTAAGTTGGTCCGATCCATCGCGTGCAGCGAACCCTGTCTAAATTGTATGCTAACCAATGCATACAATATTGCAAGTGGTACTGGCGAGGAACCCCTCCGGCAACGGCCTTCCAAGCTCTTTGCTATCTGACTCGATCTGCCTCTCTGCGTCGCTTTCGCGAAGCTGGTAATGGACCCACAGTCGGCACGTGGGGTGCACATAGCTCTTCCCCCCCGCGATCTCGTATATGAGCTCGCATAACCTTTTGCTCCACTCAGGCTCTGTCTCTAGCCCCAGGATGCACACCCATCCGCCGCTCCTCTGGGCGGTGTGAATAGCCTCCTCCGCCTCGCCGCCGTGGTTCTGTCCCAGGCACACCGTCGCGATGACGTCACTCGGCATCTCTTCCACTTTCGCCAAACGGTTGATGACGTCAACCACCGCGAACCCGCTCGAAGCTCGGACAACCACCAGAGGTCTCTGGACCGAAGTCTCCCCGAGAGCCTGCTTCACCAAGCGCAGAGCGCGTTCCGCTGACGCCTTCCGGTTCCGTTGTACCGACGGAATTCCCAACACCCCCAGGTCACCTGTTCCGCTCAACGTCAGCTGCTGCGACTCGAGGCCCGCCCGGGGACTTCGACCCAAATCCACGCCGCTTCCGGCCACACCGCAAATGACGTCCGATTCTGTGTGCACAGTGACGTCACTGTCCGGATGCAAATCCGCCGGCGCTCCGAGCAGATTTGCGGACAGCCACGCCAGTGCGGACGCTAATGCGTCCGGATGCAGCGCTTTAAAGAGCGCCACGTGTTGCAAGATCCCCAGCTTTTCGCTCGCCGGCTCAGACTTGCACGCTGCCAAGTATGCAGCAAATGTTGGCAGACTTTGGGGACCAGATTCCGGTTCCGGTCCCGGTGACATCCCGTCCTTGTTTTCCACTAACCGCCCCAGCGTACCCTTGAGGTCTTTCAGCGCGACTGCGAAAGGGTTCGGCCCTCCGGGGAACTCTCGCCGCAATTCGGCGAGGCGACCCAATTGCGCTGCCTTGGCTGAGCCGGGTCGCCCATTTTCGTTCATTCTTTCTTCTTTCGCCACCGTTTCAGTTGCGCGGCTTTCTCCTGCCGCCAAGTTTGGCGTCCGCTTTGTTTCTGACGGAGCCATCCCCAAGTCTTCTGCTTCATCCTTCCCAGAGCTGGCTACCAACTCCCCCGTTGACGTCATGCGGACGTCATCATCCGCTCCAGGGCCCCCTGTGCCCGCGCGCATCCCCCGGGAGGCGATCCACTCCCACTCATCCCGTCCCGCGAAGCCTTCCGCGGCCAAAAGACGACCGGTAACCACTCCCCGAAGCGTCCGAGCCTCCGCTGACGTCAGCCGCGCCGCCAGCCGATCCAACAGGAACGACGTCAGCCGCTCGACCAGGGACTCCGCGCTTCCGGAGGACTCCCGGTTCCGCCGGAACAGCTCGAGCTGCTCCGCGAAGCCCGGCAGGTGACCGTACGGATCCTCTCCGGTTGCGTCCGAAGTCGCTTCTGCGGCGTCCGGAATTGGGACACCTGTTGCGTCCCTGGTTGTGACACGTGTCCGCCGCTTCGGAGTTTCGCTCGAGAGGGGCGACCGCTCGGGAGACGCTTCTCCGCGAGCGCTCTCCTCCTCGCTGTCCGACTCCGTTCCGCTCGTGTCAGCGTTCCGCTGTTCCGCTCTCCCTGTATCTTGTTCCGTCCTGAAAGTTCGTGGATCTACTTGACCTGTCCGCGCTTCCGTTCCGTCCTCGGCCCCCTCGATTCCGGCGGCGACGCCCATTCCTTGCAGAACCAAACCCTTAAACCTCGCCCATGAGACGAAGTGCGCGCCGTTGTCGCCGCTAAGCGCGCGCACAGCCGCGAACACCAAAGAGGCCCTGTCCGACAGAAGTCGGTACACTTCCCGGCTCAAATTCACCTCCTCCAGCATCAACAAGGCCCCCTCGATGTGCAGAGTCAACGCCTCTGACGCGACCGCGTTTTCTTCGATCTCGACGAGAACAGCGTCGTCTACCGGAATGGGGGGACTCTGTTCGGGTGTGTCTGAGTCTCGAGGCGCGCCGAAGGCTGACACTATGCGCTCCTCGTGGACTTGGAGAGTCTGCACAGGAAATGACTGGTGTCAGCGGGCGGTAAGGGTTGTGTGAGGGTACTAAAGAGAGCCCCAAAAACGGCAATCCATCATGCTTACGCCGGGAAACTTTCAAGGTACTTGTCTCATCCTCATGAAGTTGGTTATGTCATAGCTTTGAACGGGCTCTTGGAGTGACCTTCAAAGAATCTGAACGTCTCGACAATCCTGCCCCATAGAGCTCTTTCGTAGAGAGGACAAGAACGGAACTTCCATCTTGAGACTCGTGTGAGCAACTGATTGACGGCTTCTTCCAAGCAAACCTGCCGGGTTTCGTGGACCCTTTGATTCGAAATCTTCAGTCTGCGACTGACTCAAACTAGACGAGATTACACACTTAATTAAGTTAGCAGTCACAAGAGAGATCTGGCAAAGTCCGATCTGCCTGTTTCATCGTCTCCCGACTGACTGCAAGCCCGGTTTTTAATATCAATGTCCCCACGTCCACACATGCGCCAAACATGCGGCTTACGAGGTCAACATATCTCCCTCCCATTCTCTTCTTCTAAAGTTGTCATATGAGAAGCCCAGAACCTTCTGTATCGGTGTCTCCAAACAGAAGACCAGAACACTCAAAGAGCGTTTTTAGCAAAGACACAGCTTACCTGTCTCATGGTTTCCAGACTGGTCCTTAACACCCGCCCCCGCGCTTCGACCTCCGAAATCACGTGTTCCGCTACCGCGGCCAGCATCCGATCTCCGCCGGAACTCACATTTTCCGCCGCGCGGCCCCCGAAACTTTCCACCGAGAAGTCGACCACGTTCCACAGCCCAATAACATACCCAGGCAAAGCGCCTGGGTTGGGGTGCGTCGTATACAGGATGACGTCATGCGGGCCCCGTAGCTCAGCGAGAGGCAACAGCCCCTCGCCGACGTCATCCGCGCTGGACTCGGAATTGCTGCTTACAGGGCCCCCGTCTTTCCGCTCCGCTTTCGCTTTCTTCTGAAGCTCTTGGGCGTATGCACACGCCTCGGCGGCGACCGTCAGATCCGGCCACGTGGCGCTGCTAGGGCCGTCGATCTGCAGGCACACCTTGGCTCCGCTCTCCAGCGCCTCGCGGGTCTTTTGGAGCGCGCCCGCGACCGCCGCGCGGATCCGCTTCCACCTGAACCCTGACACGTCAGCAGTGCTGACGTTACCGTGCGGACCGGGCCCCGTAATTCCCCATTTTGGCTCCGTTTGCCCCGCCTGAAATGCGACGCTCAGGATTGCAAGTCCTCCCAGACGTTCAAACTCTCCGTCCGGATCCACGATCAGCGGCGGCCTGTGTCCGTATATCGCTGACGTCATCTTCTCCATGACGTCATCTCCCACCGGCTCCGTTTCCGGTCCGGCGGGCGGGGTTGCCGTCAGCTGACGCACGATTGACGTCGCGGGGGTCACGTTCCGTAACCAGCTCCGTAATCCGAAACTCGACCCGCGTCCCACCGACGTTGACACTCCCGCTTCCACGCATCCCTTGGCCCAGTCTGCCAAGCACGCCTTCTTCTCCGCTGGTGTCAAGGCGCCCAGAAACGTCGCGATGCCGGCCGCAAGGATTGCGTCGCCCGGCAGATTCTCCAACTGCGCGCGCACGGCTGACAGCTGGCGCTCCCAGATTGGTCGGCGGCCTGCCAGGTGGCGCAGGAGCAGGCTCGAGCGGTCGCCGTGCTGGTACACGTCAGCGAGCCGCGCTTCCGCCTGCGTCTGCTTACCCATAACCTGAGGGATAACAAAACATGGAATGTAAATAGCAAAGTAGGATTACGCTGCCCTTGTTTACTATCTGAAAGCATTCTAGAATCCAAAAGCCTCGGCAGAAGCTCTTATGCAGAACGTCTTGGAGGCCGCCCTTGCTTCAGCCGGCTTCTTCTTGACCCCTCCGCGTTTGGGGGGTTACTTGTTTCCCTGTCTTTCTCGCAAATGCCTTGAATCGCCGTCGCCGCGAAGAGAACAAGAGATACCCCCGCAAAGGCCCAGCGGGTGTCGTGTCACCTCTTTGGCCCCTTGTAACCTTTGCACGAATTCCAAGCCTCTTCCAAAAATTGAATAGTTTGCGTGTAGATCCGTGAAGCACATGACACGAAACATATTGCATCGAGCACGCTTTTCCCGCGAAAGCACGCTTGAGCCGGCCCACCTTCGAGTCCTTCGCCTGCCATCACTCCCGTCTGCCCCTCGAGCACTTCCCTCAGACTTGTACGGCTTAGAGGCTTGATGAGAAACCAAATTCCATCTGTATCATAGAGAGCTAAGATAAACCCTGCCGCGCACCTCGACATACGAGCGCTTCAGCCGCCCCATCGTCACTCGTCCGCCTGCAGCCGCTGCCGCCGTCTCCTGAGCACTTGATTCGAAACTTGCACTACTAAATACAGGTGAATTCTGAGAAGCAGACCCCAAAAAACGGAGATATATTCCCAATAAATGAAATATATTCTGGCGCCCACCTCGACATATGCGCGCTTGAGCCGCCCCATCTCCGACTCGTCCGCCTGCAGCCGCTGCCGCCGTTCCTGCAGCCGGATCGCCTCCTCGTCCACTTTTCGCTGCACCGCGCCCAGCCGGCGGCCCTTCTCCTTGACGCTCGCGCGCGCGCGCGCGTACTCGACGACCGCGAGCACCCACATGCACAGCGAGCAGCACGCCTTACTGACCTGCTCCACCGCGGCGGGGGTGAAGCTGGGGTGGTGAACGTACCTAGGAAAAGATGGGTGCATAGTTAAGCAGGGTTTTGATCTGAGATCTTCTTTTAGGAGTGATGAGTGACAGGTTCAGGACATTGGAAAGACTCGCAAATAAAGCGATCAGCACGCCTTAAGTTGCTGCTCGACAGCGGCATGGGTGAAGCTTTGATGGTACACGTACTTGGGAGAGGAGGGGGACAGTTCTTCAAGATTTTTTTTGACTTCGTGGGTTCTAGGGTTTAGGGAAGTGGAAGAGAAGTTATCTACGGATTTCATAACTCTGTGCATGTGCCTTAAGGTTTAGAGAGGGTGGGTTTCAGCTGACCGCAAAGCATGGAAATTAATGCAGAGAGCCGCACGTTTCTGAAACATTTCTTCCTCCGCGGCGGGGTCAAAGCTCGGCTGGTTTGGGGAAAAGAATCAGAGTTTCAGAGGCTCAGTTTTGAGGATTCTCAAGAATGTGAAGTTCCAAAAGGTGCCTTGGAGTGTTTGACAACCCATTCCATTGACGGTCTCCTACGAGAGCACCTTAAGAAGGGATTACGCATCTTACCGAGACTTTATCTTCACCGCCTTTCCCAATTAGGTAACCATACGAGGCGAACTGAATCCAAAGTATCAGACACATCCGTTCACAAACCACCGCAATGGTGAACCTCAGCAATAAACAGTTTTGCAAAAGAAAAAAGAGGTTTATGCTCAGTACTGAGCTCAGTAATGAGTTACCGACCCTACTTAATACTCACTTTTGCAGTGCTTTGAGCGTCTTGTCCGGAATCCGGTCCTTGTCGAGGCCGGCGATCCGGCTGCGCGCCTCGTTGTCCGCGAGCATCCGGCGCGCGCTTTCCCAGTCCGGGGGGGTGCCCATCAGTAAGCAAACCGCCTCCATCACAGTCTTAACGAGGGGGGGGGGAGTCGAAAAGGATTTTAACTCGACCATGTCGTCACGCGCGAGGTGCGTGATTTCCAGCAATGCGTCTTCGTACACTTCCGCCGTCCGGCGGAGTTCTGTTTGGGAGGCGGACGTCAGGGCCTCGATCTCGCGCAACTGTAAGAAAGAGGGAAAGCAGTCACATTAAAAGTAGGAGGCAAGGAAGGACAGTGTCGCAAGAGAACAGAGTTATATGCTCTACGTTTTGGAGTGAGAATGACGCGAGCACAATCTGGTTACCACATGAGACGGATGGAGAATATGGTTACACGAGAACGAAGCAGACATAAAGGCCTGATTGGACAAGAGTGTAAATATCTCAACCGCGCCCAGTTGCGAAGAATGAAGCACCCCACTAATCAGACAATCGTGAAATTATGCGCACAACCGAAGCACAGTACGAAGACCCAAGACCTACAAAGCAAAGCAAAGAGCACAGATTTCAAAGGCCGCCATGTGGAAACGCAATCCTAATCAACGAAGGTCGAGCCCCAATTCCTCAGGCTAGAAGGCGGTCTCCCAAACCCTTTGTTCGCAATCCTTGGGGTCACCACTTTGGAAACCTCAGCCAACAGAGTCCGAAATAGAGTGTACAGCTCTGTGCGCTATATCTGCCATCCGTGCGAATTAGACTCTTGGTACGAAATCTTGCACCGGACGATCAAATACATCGGTGGATCCAGCGGTCTAGCTTCACGTACCAAGCGCCGACGCTCAAAGAGGGGTTGCCAATTTAGACGCAAACAGCACTGTGAACGACCCAAGGAAAAGAAACATTCAAAGCCCACCTTGAGTTGCAGTTCCCGGTCGTCTCGTGCCAGTTCCGCCCTCTCTAGATCGACGGCCTTCTGCTTGGCCGCAATTTCTGCCAGCAGCGCCGTACTGCAAATGAATGAAGGGGTCAGAGGCTGGTTTATCCAAAACTTCAGGACTAGCTGTGGATTTGAGTATCAAACTTTCGGATCCGGTTGCTTTGAACAAGCCGAGTTTACTGTCCCCTTTTGATTGATATGATCACACCGAATGGAGCGTGGGTCAGATCCAAAGCATGCTACGTGTGATGGCAGCTGTTTGTCACAAAACCTGCGAAAGGGTATCTGAGGGAAGTCGAAATGCGCAAATCCGCAGATAGGGCTAACACAACGATCATACTCAGCTCCTTCGCAGACCTTTCGCATAGGTTTCAGGGCACTTGAGCCTGATAGTTCGCTACCGCTTAATCTGTAAGGCTCCCAATCAAGTATGACAGAATGATACAGCCCAAAGCGAGGCCCCGTACCTCTGCTCGAGCAACGCCTCCAGGGCGGGCTGCAGCCCATCCGCGTCGTCATTGCTTCTCACAAGGCCCCTCTGTATCGCCTGCAACCGGTCCAAGCACGCCTCCAAAACCCTGCGCCGCCGCCGCAAAACCCCCTTCGCGCCGCGCCAGAGGCCGCCCGCGAGCCGCACGAACGCGCCCAGCTGGCGACCGGCGAGCGAGACCTCCAAACCCCGCGCCGCCCAGAGCGCGCGCGCGCACTCATACACCGCGGCCGCGGCTGCGGCCGCCGAACTGGGCGCCCACGAGCCGAAACCCTCGAGCGCCTTCGGGGGGTCTGGCGCGTCGGGGGGGGCCGCGGGGCGGTCTTTCCACAGGTCGTTGATCTTGTTTTGGCGCAAGAGGTACCCCCCCTTTTCGTCGGAAAAGGTCCAGTCGGCTCTTTGACGAAACGCCTGCTCCGGTTGCGTGTCCCAAACCCTACCTAAACCCTGGTCCGCGAACTCCATAACCGCGAGGTCCGCGGGCGGGTCAAACCTCCAAACCCTCAGCGTCTTCTGCAGCTCCGGGAAGCCGTCTCTCAGCGCCCGCCACGTGGCGTCCGTGCAGATGAAAATCACGCGTGGACACGTGGCGGGCTTTGACTGGGCGTCCGCCGGTGGCTGATCTCGGCTGCCGATCTTGTTGCCGGAGCTCTGCTGGTTCTTGGCCCGGCCTTTCGCGCCGGACGCTGCCTTCCGTTCCGTTCCGTCTTGGGGAATCCGCCCGCTGACGACTACGTCGGCGAGCCACGCCAGCACGTCGACATTTTTCAAGATGGCGCTCCCCAGCAACAAGCTGGCGCTTCCAAAACCCTTACCGGAGTTCCCGGCCATTGCTGCAGTCAAAGCTTCCCGCAATTCCCGGATGACGTCCGCTGACGTCATATCCGGAGACGCTGCCGTTAGGTCTTCCGCTCCGGAGCCGAGGAACTTCAGAGCGGCGTTCACCATCCGCCGTTTGCCGCAGCAGGGGGGTCCGATCACCGCCAAAGCGTCCCCCCTTACGAGAGCGTCGACCAGCTTCGCGAATTGAATCTCCGCTTCTGGGAAGCTCTCAAGGGGGTTCGCTGACGTTTCCGACGTGTCTGGCTGACGTATTGGCAAGACTGGCTGTCGCAAAGGCGCCTTTCCTCGCTGCGCCTTCGGACTGTCCTCAAACTGCACGTGCTTTGTCCCCTTTGCTGCCACGTGGCTCGCGCTAGCAGCTTCCACGTGTTCCTCGTTCTCTTTACCCTCTTCCAAAGTCGCCCACAGCTTCGCACGCCAAATCTGGCGATCCGCCAACGTGCCGCTTCCGCCCTTCCTCCCCGGAACGGACCGTTCGCCTTGCCGCAAGGGGTTTGCAGGTTTCAGCGCGAGCGGCATCAAGGGCGCGCGCGCGAGCGCGATCTTTTTCCCCGCCTTTTCGACTGCGGCCGCGAGCGCCCCGTCGAGCAAAGCCCTAAACCCTTCGTCCACGCGCGCGCCGACGCTCTCCATCACCGCGCCCCGCAGCGCCTCCGGCCACGAAACCCCCAATCCCCAAATCCCGGCGCCGGCCTTGGTTCGTTCCGGTTCCGCGCGTTCCGGCTCCTTTCCGTCGTCGGAACCGCGGCCCTTCTGGGCCTTCTTTAGTAGACCCACGAAGTTTGGGACGTCCAAATCGGACGAAGACTCCCGCTTCCGCCCAGCGTCGCCCGCTTTGTGCTCGTTCCGTTCGACGACAGTTCCGCCGGCCGGAATCCCGTCCGTTTGGTGCGACCCGTGAAGCCGACGTAGTGCTCGCAGCGCGCCCACAAACGCATCCAAACCCAGAATTCTACTGGCTGACGTCACGTGGGCTCGTTCCGCCGGACTCCGGGCGGAACCGAAGCGGACTCTGCAAAGCTCCCGGGCAGCGACCAGAGCGTCTGCCGCCGCTGACGTCATCTCCTGTGCGGACGGCAGTGGTGCTTCTCCAATGGAGAGGTTATCCAGACACGTCTCCAGGATGGCTTGGCACACCGACTGCGGAGGCGCGTCGTTGAAGGTCAGTGTGAATAATCTCCCGTTCAACCGGTTGGGAAGTTTGGCTTCGTCGGACTCTCCACTTAGGGCCAACTGCAGCCCGGCGATTTCCACCGAGGACCGCTCCGCAGCGCTATACATCGTGCCGCTTCCCAAGACCTGCCTGAGAAGTTCTAGACTTCCCGGAGCCCCGCTCGCTGACTTGGGACCCTCTAGAGAGAGGTGGACGTCGTCAATCATGACCAGGAGCCTCTTTCCGAGGGGGGTCCGAAGAGCCGTCCTCTTTCCCCCGGGAACGAGGTGCGCTCTTAGGACGTCCGAAAGGCTAGCTGCAGACGTGCCACGTGTCATGAAGGCAGTCGCCGAAGTAAACTTCTCCTTAGAAACCAGGCTGCTGGCTGCCACTTGCATTATGAAACTTTTCCTGCTGGAGGGGGGTCCGATCAGTAGCGGTGGGAGCCCCCCCACGATAGTCATCTCAAGCACTGCTCGGGCGCGTTCGCTTTCCAGCGTCGGAACGTAAAGCAAGGGGGAAGAGTGCCCGGTTGTCTCCAAACCGAGCAGGGTTACTGGGCTAAAGTCGCCTGGGTTAGATGACCCCAACCACGGCACAAAGGCCCGTTTCACACCGCACACCCGGTATTCAAAGAGGGAGCCACTTTCGGGGGGTGGGAATGCGCCCTTCGGCGCCAGCGCGCCCAAAGGCGCGCGCACACGCGATTCAAGCTCGGTCCTAAAACTGTCGGAAGCGCTTCCTCCGATCGCCCACAAGACGCAGAAAGCGAAGTACAGCGTCGCCATTCGCTCCGCGGAGTAAATAACCTCCGCCACCTCTCCCGCGCTGCCCGGGCGGGCATTCGGCTGCTTGGGGGATCTCCCCGGTTGCTTGTCAATGGAGAACGAGCGGCTGAGAATGTGTCCGGTGTCCGCTCCCCCGGTCGGTTTTTCTGTCGCGCTTTCCTCCGCACACTGCGAAAGCTTCCTAGCTGCCACCACGTGGGGATCCTTCCGCATTAACTGCTCGAACAGCGCGATAAAGTGGGTCGTATTCCTACTGTACTCCAACCGAGGACCGGATTCCAAATCACTGCCCAACGTCCAGAGAGGCTCCGCAGCGCCCACCAGAGCCGCCAGATGCTCCTTCAGAAACGACACCTCGGTCGGCAGATTCGCCACCCACTTTGACACCACTTTCGCCGCGGCCGTCTCTTCCCGGTCCAAATGGACGATCTTCGCGTCGCTTACCGCGGCCGGTGTCAATCCCGAAACCCCCGAGGTTTCAAAGATCAGCGCCGCGCCAGCAGGAACCCTGAACGTCTCCCCGGTTGGCAAGCAGAGGGATCCCCTCGCGGCTACCAGGGGCTCGAGAAGAGCCCAGTGAGGGCCCGGGAGGTCGCCGTCGAGAACAGCCCAGTTCTGGGAAAATGTGGTTCCGTTTCCGCTGCTTGAACGGACGGAAAACTCGGAGCAGAGGGTGGGGAGAAGGCCGTTCTCCCACTGCAAAACAAAACGGGTAACATTCGGGTAAGCCAGGATTCTGAAGAGAAAGCAGGGTTATCTTGGCTTTTCAGAGGGAACAGTCGAAAGACTGAAGAAGAGAGACAACCGGCTGTCAGAGGTGGGGACATTGTCTGTTTTAAAGTTCGTACGTTGCATTGCGTCGGCACGCAGTGCGGCAAATTAAGCCTGGTACAGCAAGTCCGCTTATTGATGATCCTAGCCACGATTCCGTTTGAAAGAAGTACGCAGAGTTGATACCGCGAAAGTCTCTTCTCTTCCGATAGATAACAGGATGAAAGCGACTTGAATTCTGAGCGTAGCAAATGTAGACGACCTTTTCCAGAAGACGTGTAGATTTTCTCGTTGCTTCGAAATGAAACCGTTAGCTTTTCAAGCCCTCCGTAACCGGTGGGCAACTTGACAAAGAGAACGATTTTTTTACTGCCAAGCGGCAACTGGTTGACCAGAACTTAAAACAACAGATTTCGCTCTTCTCTCAAGTCATCAGCCTCTTGAGATGCAGCGCAAAACACACGTACAAACTGGATGGATAAGTAGAGGAACAAATGAGATGGCTCCAAACCTGGTGAGTCTGCCCATACTCCCCCAGCAGCTCGTCCTGAGTCAACGCCCCGGGGTACATAACCCGCACGTTAACCCACTCTTCTTCGCCCCGGATATTTGCTCTTTCTCCCTCCCGGTTACCTGTAACCCGGTTTAGAACCTCTAGCGCCGCAGCCAGTGTCCGCCAACAGCTAGTCTTCCCGCTCAGAACGTCCCCCGTTACGAAAACTGACGTCGAATGGGAGAGGGCGTCACACAAGGCGAGGCACTTCGACGCGAAGCTTTCCGCATCGAACGGCAGCGAGGACTGCGCTAACAGTTGCCGCAAAATCTCCTCCAAGCGCTGTCGATCTTGCGCCGCGATGCGGCTATTGGTATCGGAGGGTTTGTGCAAGGGTTTGGGCGGGGATTTGGACGCGTCAGATTCGACCACGCGGCAGGTCCAATCGACGAGCGTCCGTAAGTGCGGCAGGCGGTCTAGGATGACGCCACGTGGCAGCGAGATGGGGAGGGCAAAGCCGGGCTGCACTGAGATGTCGGCGCCCTCGACGGACACCAGTTGGGCGCCACGTGTCATGCCCTGGAGAGTGACGGGAAAAGTTGTGAACCATTTCGGAGCAGGCCAACAGAATGGTGCGAACAAACCTAGTGATGCGCAGTCCTTTGCAAAAGCAGACATTTCTGGCGTAGGGCTGTACAGCTTCGCTTGAGTAGAGCCGTCAGACAGAAGCCAAAACAGCGGTCAGTCGGGGCGTCAAACCTGTTTACCGGTCAGCCGAGATCATTAATCTGCTTCCGTCGGATAAGTATACGTAGTCAGAAACCCAGAACATGTATTCGCGACAATCGCGACAACGCATTCGTTTAAAGTGACAATCCGCTTGAACGATGCTGCACTTTCTGTGACGACGATCAGAAGGGCGATGTAAATGCTTGACAACTTTCAGGCGCAATTTGCAGTCCAATGTTGAGATACAATCTTTGAAGCTCATCCTTGGGAACCAATGCAGGACAGCTTCAATCCGGAAATCCTGCTGGTTTCTGAGAGACTCGTCCCCATTGACCGGTTGATTCCTCATCCTCTACAAGACACTCAGTCAGAGCTGGCGGGAGGGCTGGTGAAAACTGCGCGAGGACTCAAAAGAAAATTGAAGTTGAGCTTTTGAACGGAAAGCTCATTCTGCTCAGGAGAGCCGCCCGGCGAGCGTTCCTAAGTGTCTGACGGTCATTCCCTATCAAACGGGCAGTTTGGAATCCTGCGGGACAGAGTTCAGATGCCTACCGTCTGAAGCGCACGGAGTTGCTGCGTCAGCACTGACGTCACTGCAGGCGAGAGGGCGTCCAGGTTCGAAAGCGACAGCCACGCTCCGCTTTCCGCCGCTCCGGTCAGAAGCCGCGCAGTAGACCTGCAGGAAAACGGAACGAATGTCAGAGCGTGTTAATAAGTCCCAGTGCAGGGAGCGCATGCATGAAAGATCATCATAGATCAAGGCTTGAATAATGAATGGATTGATTTTCACAGCTCGAAATGAAGGAAAACATAACAGCCAGGCCAAAGGCTTGCAGGGGCAGACGTGGGTTGAATGAGCAGAACGTGAAGATTGAGATGTCATTCCGGAAGGGCGACGAGAAAGAATGGACCCTATAACAAACGAAATGCAGTACAAGCAGGGAGAAGGATTCAAAGGATTCACTGCACTCAACTTTCTAGAATGCAGAAAACCAACAAAAATCAAATAACCAAGAAACCCAAAGACCCCAGGACTCACCGGTAGTCCAGGGCCGCTGTGCAGACGCTCGGGAGATACAACCGGCCACAGGCCCGGGCAAGCTCTGCGAGAGTATTCACACCGCCTGCTTCGGGCTCCGGTTGTGCGACGAACTGGCCGGTACTAAGAGCCGAAAAGAGAGACAGAGTGGCTCGGGAGGAGGTTATGAGCGGCAGGGGGGATTGGGAATCGTCGCCCAGGTATTCGAACCCATACGGTATGGAGAAGTCGCCCATACGGACTGTACAACTATCGCTTTCCTGCAGGGAAAGGAGGAGTTATAGAGGTTGCAAATGCACGGTCAAGATGGTTTCGGTGATGTAGAATTCCTTTTCGCTTCAGTATCTGCTACATATGCACGATCCAGATGGTTTCGGTGATGTAGAATTCCTTTTCACTTCAGTATCTGCTACGATACTCCATACGTAACGAGAACTTCGCAAACCCAACAACTTTGGAGGCAGTACAGCCCACGATGCTGCCTTCTTGAAGTCCAACCATTTTAGCACCGAGCCTTTACCTTTAGTTGCGTTTCTTGCTCTACGAAGCATCGAAAATCATAATGAGCATAAGATTGAGTAAGCAATGCTTTTGTCCCCAATCCGTTCTACTTGTCAAAATCGGGGTGATCAAAAGGTCGATTGTCGTTGCAGACTAAAGTATCGAATTAAGGCATTTCTGTTGGATACCTGAGACCCCTGCTCTTTTGATGGCATCGTCAACAAAGGTACCCAACGTTACCGCCTCGCCGCCCAGATCGTAAGGCTCACCTCCTGCCACGTGTACCGCAGCTCTTTCTTCCACTCCAAGAAACCATCGTCAGCCGCCACCAATCTCCTGAGCACCTGTTTTCGAGCTTCGACGGCGGCCAGTCTCCAGTGATCCAGACTCTTCTGGTCGCCGCTTTCTGCCTCCAACTCAGTTCTGCTTCTGAGCTCTCCTGACAGATTGTCTAGTTTGTTGGACACTAATCCGAGTCTCTCGGAACCTCTTTTTGACTTTCCGGCCGCAGTTTCGGGGGCGTCACTGCTGCTGACGTCCGCGAGAGCGTTGTCAACGTCAGCGGTCCATTGAATGGCGTCAGCGAGGAGGACGCTCTGCACCGCTGGCGTGCTCGCCTTCCCGTCGAGGACCTGGCAGGGTGGCAACATGTGACGTTACTTCGCGAACTTCCACTTGGAAATCAGCGGTAATGTGCTTTGTGATTGGTATATTGCAATGGTTTTCAGGTACGACCCTTTGCAGCGGAATCTTGCAAGCAGAGCGACGGATCTCTTTACCACGTTTCTCGTAGATCGAGCGACTCTTTTCTTTGTGATTGGCAATTCACAACGGGCATGCGACGGAACAAGGCAAGAGCGTGAAAAGATCAAAAAACGTGGTCGCTGATTTCTTCCGCTGAATTCGTAAGTATTCGGATATTCGCCTATCTGTATCAGTATCAGTACTCAAGCTACGCTTGTTCAAAAGTTGGAGACGCGAGTTCTGGTACGCTGATCCCTCACCTCTTTCGTCTGAGCGGCAAGCGTCTTTCTGATCATCTCCAGCAACCGCCCCATCCACCGGTCAACTCTGGCAGGAACTCTCACTGACCCAAGCAGTCGGTTCAGCGTAAGAACCTCTCCCTTGTGACCTTCAACCGCCGCTACGAAGCTCCGCTCGGAAGCTTCCGCTTCCGTTCCGGAACTCGCGTTCCCCCCCCGGGTTTGAACGACCACAGACGAGACCCCCGTGAAGCACTTGCTGATTAAGTGGCTGACAGTGGAGAAGTCGCGCGCTGCCGCCAGAGTCAAAAGTTCCGGGTCGCTGCAAAAAAGGAAGTAAACTTCAGAAGAGACGACTATGTCTGGGTTGATCGCCCCCCTTTGAACAATCAGGAAGAGATCTCTTGTGAAGTGCTGATCAAGTGGCTGACGCCTGAGAAGTCGAGCGCTGCTGCCAAAGTCAAAAAATTCGGATCGCTGCAGATTTAGAAGAAGGAAGTTAGATTGAGGAGGCGAGCCTTTTTTGGTTCATCTTTGGGCTTTGAACGACTAGGAACAGAAGTACTGTGAAGCAGCTGATCTTAAGCAGAAAAATTGCGCGCCGCCGCCAGGATTAGTAGCTCTGGATTGCCACAAAGGAAAGAAACATAGATCCAAATATGCAAAGGTGACAGGATCTATTCCCCGGATCTGAGCGACTGGATATGGACTTGAGCGAATATGGACAGAAACCCTGTAAAGTATTTGTTTATCACGTGGCTAACGGGCGCAGAATCGTGGGCTGCCGCAGAGTCAGAAAGGCGTTTTGGGTTCCCTCAAAACAAAAACATTTGAAGGGGCGGATCTGTTTGGATCGAGTCTTCCGGGTTTTAAAATCCAGGGACGGAATTCCGTGAAGCACTTGCTTATCAAGTCGCGGACGCCGAATTACTCGTGCGCAGCCGCCAGCGTCAAAAGCTCTGGAATGTTGCGGAGTCAACAGGAACAGTTGAGTACACACGTTCGTTCGAGTTTGCACGACCAGGGTTGAAACCACAGTCAAACACGTGCTGGAGAAGAACTGACGAGCCAGTGCCAGGATGAAAAGCTCCAAACACTGCAAAAACTCAAGGGAGACCTTGGTACATGGTGTCCAAAAGTTGCATCAGTATACTTGGATCACAAGAATGCAGGGAAAGCAAGTGGTCGGTTGTTCCAGTTCTTGAAGTGCATGTAAGGGAAAGGAATTACATGATGAATAAGGATCCAACTGGGTGCGAAATTCATTCATTGTGGAAAGTGGAGGTCGGTTCTAAGAAGAACATTTGTGGCAGGTTGACGGTTGGTATCACTATGTAGGAGGCTAACTGTGTAACATCAGTAGTTCACACCTTTGCTTGGAGAAGATGATGGGAGTTTGGTGGAGTCAGCATTCATTTAATAGGATGAACGGAGCAAAGTTCAAGAGTATATGGGAACGAGGTGGAAGTTGATACAAATCTGGTGGCAAAATTCGATGCGAGACCAATGAATTGGAAGAAGTTCGATGTGGTGGGCAGTGGTTTTATGTAGGGTTGTCATGTGATTTGGTGTGGGTGTGGCGGAGATCTGGATAAAAGATGGCTGAAGTTTGCGGTAAATTGATATTGATGTGGTATGTGAGGAATTTGGGTCAGGGATGGGTTGGATTGTGATGGCAGATGACTGGTTGTGTTGGTGTAGGATGGCCTCTTTCGAGGCTCAGAAAAATTGGGAAAATCCGCGTAGTGTGATTATGGCCGTGATACGTCTAGTAAAAGGCGAGGCGTATATATACTGAGACCGTAATCACGCGGAGAATGTGGGACCGTACGTCGGGCAGCAGTTTATATACCCCCGTCCGAGCGAAAACTTTGATTTTTTGGTGGGTCGAGCGAAACAAGCTACCGGCACCGTCCACTGCCCATCGTACGGTGGAGATTGATGATCGCGGACTCGGTCCGTGACCGTCCGACTCGCGACGCCGGTCGGATTCACGCTGAGTCGGACCGAGTACTCGTGCAAACTTAGCGGTGCTCAAACTTGAAACCCCACGCCGGTACCCAAATTTGAAAATCTGGGGGGTCAACTTTCGACCGTCGATAAGGCGTCTGGGCTGGGTTTCGAGCTCCGTCAGCCTTCGATTTGATGCGCGACGTTCGGTTTTAAAATCCACAGTAGCACCGCAGACTATTTGGACTGGCGGCCACCTTCATTGTTGTAGCAATTCTCTGCAGAGTGCTCGACTTTCAAATTCACTTGGTATAACAGAATAAAGAAGCCCATAAGAGACCAAAGTCTGCCCTTGGCGCGCAGATGTGAGCGCAGTTTCGCTTGTGAGTCACAGTGCGCTAATAAGGTGTGTCAAGAAGTGGATAATGGATACCGCATCCAGTTGGGTGCAGAAAAGTCTCGACGCCACGAATATCAGCTAATGGGATGCAGAAGCACAAAGATGTGTAGATCCCAGAGTCACCGGCATGATGTTCTGGGACCACCTTTTATCCCGCTTGCGGGTTTTATTATAGCATCAGAATCTCGTCCGCACAGTGCCAGAAACAATGCTCAACCCAGACAATGAACACACGATTTGCTTTGCGAAGCCCTCGCAGACTCACTCCAGCCTGGGTGAGATTGTTGCCCTCCCAAAATGAACCAGCACCAGATTCAAAGATATCAAACCAGGGTCAAAAGCCAAGTTTTGTTGGTTCCGAGATCAGAAAACATTTGGACGCCCACCTCAAGAACTAGAGGCGCGGGGAGCCCATCAGCAGCTGCCATGCATATCATCCGCAAGGAGGCCTGGATCACTTCAAAGCCAGACCGCAAGCCCAAAATCTTTCCTCCTTAGCCTTGAAAAGATTGATAATCGGACGCTCACATCTGCCGCAGCGTGACTAGATGGTTGGCAAAGGAGCCTTGGATAAGAGCCCAAAATCACTTCAGATACAAATGTCAACGTAAAGAACCAGGATCGTAGGTTTTTGCTTTTTCTAAAGAAAATGCGGACGCCCTCCTCAGACATTAGAGGCGCGGGAAGCCCGTCCGCAGCGTGTCCAAGTGGTCCGCAAACGAGCCTGAATAAGGGCCCAGAACCCTCCAGATACAAACGTCAAACTAAAGAAGCACGACCACAGGTGTTTGATTTTCTAAAGAGATTCTGGACGCCCACCTCAAGAAGTACATTCGCGGGAAGCCCGTCCACAGCGTGTCCAAGCGGTCCGCAAACGAGCCCTGGATCTCTCCAGGCAGGAGATGAATTCAGAAAGGAATGATCTTCTACTGCTGCTTTGCAACAGAATTGCAGACGCTCACCTAAGAAAATAGAGTCGCGGGAAGCTCGTCCGCAGCGTGTCCAAATGGTCCGCAAAGGAGCCTTGGAATCTCTTCAAACCAAAGGTGAACTCAAAGAGCGACAAACATTAATTTCTACTTTGCTGCGGACGCTTACCTGAGAAAGTACAGTCGCGGGAAGCCCGTCCGCAGCGTGTCCAAATGGTCCGCAAAGGAGCCCTGGATCTCGGCCAGCCGGTCGCGCAGCGCCGCGCACTTGGCGAGGGGTGACGTCGGCTGCGCGGCCGCGAGCAGGTGCGCCTTGAGCTGGACTGACGTCATCATGGCGCCCCACTGGCTGGACAGGCTCTGCAGAGGGGGACACGTGGGTCAAGTCGCAGAGATGGGAGACTCGTCATGTAGGCGTCGCTGGAGTTGGTGGCTACTTTTACAGTCTGTGGATCCGAGTGCAAGGCTACGAATTGCTTATCGAAGCAAGGGTACGTTGTTCTCGGAGCCTCACGGGCCTTCAGCTCTTTGGACGGATATACTATCGGTGCAGAATCTACACGGTTATCGGTGACCATGACGATGATGACGTCATCGTGACGTCATCATCCCACCTGTTGGCAGGATACACTAAGCCTTGAGAGAGGAGTAGATCGAGCCTAAAGGGCTGCTTGTGGATCAGCGCAACATTCAAACGACCAAGAACTTGTTGAAAGATAGTTTTCGCAGACCACACCTATTCAGAGGGAGGCAGAATAGGATATGTACTAACAGGAAGGCGCGTTGCTTTAGATAGCAGAAACTGATCTGGAAGGGAATGGACCTTCAGACGCCCAGCTCTCTAAGGCCTCACAGGTACAAGCATTGTGGCCTTGAGTCGATGAGCTCCTGCCACACCGCGTTGCTTTCGGGTTGTATTCCTCCAACCATGGGCAGACAAAAACAGCAGTTGGTAGCGCTCCGCGAAATGAAAGCTCGACGAAATAAACCTTGCTCATCAGGGCTCCAACTGAAAGAATGAATCGCAAGCTCAGAGTCCGAAGCGCCACCACTCGAGTAGCTGGGACTTGAACGGTTAGCGTTCGGACGCTGCCGTCCGCAAAAATGCAAAGCAGGTACCGTACATTGAGCGAATACCCAAATCGACGACTCAGAAAGTTGTTAATGGTCCGCGAGTATGCGCCACGTCAAACCGAGTGAGATCTTTAAGCGCAATCTCAAACGTTGAAAGATCTCAAACAGCTGGAACCCAGTCGGCATCAGTTTTCGAAGGCTTGGAAGGAACCGAAAAGGCGGTTAAGTGCCGCAGGATGTCCTGAAACCATTCATGGAGCCTACCTCAAATAGCTGGTATTCGGACGGCATCAGCTTTCGGACGTCGCTGTCCGCGAAGACGCGTCCGAGGAAGTCCAGCAGTTCTTGACAGTCCGCCGCATCCTCCACGCGCGACTGGAGCGCCGCAAGAAAGTCCTCCCACTCCTCCATCTCGCCAGCCATGCCGCCGCAGAACGGATTGCGCGTCAACTGCGCAAGCTCGGCCTGCAAATTGCGCGAAATTCGCTCAAAAAAAAGGAAATGCCTGAAGGGATGGAAAAGCGGGAACTCCCTCAAGGACCGGCCCACTTGAGATGCTCGGCTACCGCCCCCTTTTTCACATCCAATCGAACCTTTCGCTAGTCCATCTTCATCCTCCCAAACCAGTTAACAAAATCTAGCACAAGGAAGTGAAGTGTGATGAGTAGTACGATAATGATGAAGAGATCCCACCTGACTCTTGGCAATGCGCCGTATCAAAATGGGCAAGCCCCCCCAGAACGGGCCACTCAAAGCACTGCGCCAATTCTCCCGTTCCACTTAGCACTAGGCATACTAAAACTTTACCCATCTTGAGAACCAGTCAAAAAGGTCCAATCTTGACGATAGGAAACTCCTTCAAATTGCTCGGAAACACGCCTACCTGACTCTCAGCAAACCGCCGCATCAAAGCGGGCAGGCCCCCCAGAACTGGCCACTTGATGTGCTCCGCTAAACCCGCCGCCTTCACCTCCAAGTACACGTTCTGCCAGTCCATCTTCATCTTTTGAAGCCGGTCGAACAGCACGGACTCCTCCCTAGCCACCGCGAAGGCCGCGTCCGCGGCCGCGTCGAGCGTCCGAAGGGGAAGGCCGAGCAGGGCGGTTACGGACACCTGGCAAAACGCGGACGGTTCGGTGAGCTTATACTGAAGGCTTATAGGAGATCGGACAATGTCGCCTCACAGTGAGTCTCCTGGGCAAGCTCAATTTTGCGTCCGCGCATCGAGCGTCCGAAAGGGAAGGCCGAGCAGGGCGGTCACGGACACCTGTCTAAACGCGGACGGTGCAATCAGCTACAAATAGAACCCAACGTCGACAAATAGAGTAGAGTCAACGCACGATGTAATAGAACTTGCACCAGCAACCTCGGCAGGTGTCCGAAGGAACCCTCGCAATCCGGCTACTCAGTCTGCAACTTCGGACAAGTTGGTCGGGTTCGGGCGTCTGACGCAGAGCACAGCCTAAAGAACGCGCTAGCAAGTGAGTGCAACTCGCGCATCACCTCTCCGGCCAGCCCGAGCGCTCTCTGGAACTGCGCGAGGTGGCGCGGGCGGAGGCAGCCGTCGCAGAGGCGCGTGAGGACGGGCAGGATAGCCTGCCACGTGGCGACCCGGGATTGGAGCTGAAGCGCAAACCTGCGGCAGAAAATCCAATCCACCTGAGGACTCTTTTCATTGAGAAGAGTAAATCGAAGAGCAACCCGTGCAGTAAGGCTGCGGATGAGATCACAGCGCAAGGGTAATAAGATCTTTGGCACGTCTTCTCATTCAAAGGAGAGGAAACCATGTGGGCGAACTTCTACATTGAACACCAATCAAATCGCCTTCCTCGGGTTCAACGAGTGAAATTCGCGGAAAAATCTTTGTTCAACGTTCGCGCGTAATGTTGACCCTGCCAACAACGAACATCTGCCTTGGAGAATTTGTAACGAAACCACAGAACGGGTACATTGGTGAGGGGCACACTACAGGGAAAACTTAGGTCAACAGAGCAAGGGAATTCAGTTCACCGGAACAAGGCAAAGGACAGAGTCACTTAGTCAAATTCGCACAAAGCCGATGAAGAGAACAGATACAACAATAGAACAGAATGATCTGACAGAAGGACCTGAAAGTGAGAGAAGGGCCTCACTTTTGCTCCGCCGGGGTGTTGGTCCCACTCTTCGCTTGATCCCCGTCCTGTTTTAGAACCAGTACCGCTCGGAGCTCATCCTGCGTCCTTTCCACCGCCGCGCGCACCTCCCCCCCGGAGAGAAAGTCACCAATCCTCAACAACGGTGCTACGTCAGCTTTCGCGACGAAAGCGGACCATTCACACAACGCATCCCACAGGCGCACTTTCCTCTGCAGGACCTCCTCGCACGCGGCGAGAAAGTGCTGTATGCGCCGGTCGGGGTCGTAGCCCAGCAGCGCGTACTGCTTCTCACAGTTGTTTGCGGACGCGCGGAGGGCGTCCAGGCGGCGCGACTTCTGCGCGAGCGCGTCGCGCGCGCGGGGGGGGGACGCGTCGGGATCGACGAATGCGCCGACGCGCAGAGAGAGGAGCTCCTGCAATTGAGATTGGGTGCTTTCAAAACCCCTGGGTTTTTGAGTTCGGGCGAGCAGCCGTTTACAGGAGTTAAGGGGCTGGTCAGGGTGGATCTAACAGGCTGCCTCTTGCAAATATTTTGTTCCAATTGAACTTATATGTGTAACTGTGAAATGCACAGTGATTGATGACCGGCCTGTCTGCTACACTCTTTGCAACTCCGGAAAGTTTGCGAATCAGGCACAATCCGTTTTCGCTGGTTCTGAGTAAGGATTGTTGAGACTAACGCGACAAAGTGCTAATCGATCGTTTACGAATCGTTCTGCTAAGAAAGCGTCCGTCGATCCTCCATCTACTCTACTGATCTTGGTACCTTTCAGAGAAGGAGATCCGCACACAGACGACTCCCACAAATCTCATCACCTTTCAAAAAGGGCAACGCAAACGCAAACAGCAAAGGCGCTCCACTCTAAACGTACTGCAACATTTCACGCGCCAGTCGACGTCGGTAAACATAATACACTTTGCCTGACTGAATTCACGACTATCCATGTACGAGACTCAACTAAAGCATGCTTTTCTGCGACACGACCCTTCAGCGGAATCTAGCCCCCTTCAAAGAGCACAATCACACCTGCCGAATCTGTTCACACAGCTGCGTGGCGCTCCGGTCGAGCGCCCCGTGTACCGCCTCCGCTTGCTTCTTGATGTGCGCGCGCGTCACCTCTCCCACCGTCACGTATTCCTCCTGCGTGTCTTTCAGGGCGCGCCACGCGGCCGCGACCTGCGCGCTTTTGGACGCGGCCGGGTCCGGGATCTGAAGGAAGGGTTGAAGAAGGGTTAGAAGGGGTTTAGATTTGCTCTCGAAGGTATTCTCGAGGTCTTAAAAAGAGGGCTTTCAGCAGAGTGCTCAAAGATAACCTAGATTCTGATCTCGAAGATGCATTGTACAAAAGTTCCACTTTCAAGGGTCTCTTGTAGGTCATTGCTAGCGGCAACGATTCATGATGTCGGCGCGGCATTGAATCGGTTTTCCGGAGACCGGATTGAGGATGGTGACGTCCTGGTTTTACATCAAAGAAGATTGATTCAATGAGTCTTCTCTGCGCTAACAGATCCTCCGTGGCCCCGATCGCGTCCACGTCAGCCTTGAGCCGTTGCGCGGCGTCCCCTTTTCGCAATAAGCGGCGGAACGGTCTCCAAATCAAAGCACCAAAATAAACTGCACTTTTGAACAGGCTAGAAAGTCAAGAGCAGGAAGGATTGGATTAAACACGGTTACCTGCGCGAGCAGATCTTTCCTGGCTCCGATAGCGTCCACGTCAGCCTTGAGCCGTTGTACGCGTCACCATCGCGCCACAATCGAAGCCAAGAACACTACAGCAACGCTTAAACATTCTACAAAGAAAAGAGCATTGAAGGAATCGAGTAAAGACTGTTCCCTGCGCCAATAGATCCGTCATGGCCCCAAATGCGTCCACGTCAGCCTTGAGCCGTTGCGCGGTGTCGCCTTTCAAGAATCGGCTCTCCAATCAACTTGCAACCAATAGTGAAACTCTGAGAAAGCCTAAACATAAGATAAGAGAGCAGGAATGGGCGGGACATGAGAAAACCTAATCATGAAGATAAAAGAGCATAAATGAAGGGGACAAAACATTCACAAATCTTGCCTGGGCTAGCAGATCTTTCATGGCCCCGATCGCGTCCACGTCAGCCTTGAGCTGTTGCGCGGCGTCCCCCTTCGCGAGGTGTGGTTGGACCGCCTCCACAAACTTTAGGAACGCCTCTAGTTCCACGGGCATGCTGCGCAGCTGGGCGATCGCAGCCTCCATGGTCGACTTGCAAGCCTGCAGACCGTACACTGGCAGCTTTTAAATGTATTAATAGGAGGTTATTTGAAGATACATAAGTCCCGGGCACCTCAATTAAAATCCCTAACCCAAACATTACGCGCTGCGCACCCGCACCCACCCTAACCCCCAAACTAACCCCACCCGTCCCCCGGGTGCTCACCTTAAAACAATCGGGTATTAGAATCGCCAGTTACCGGAGTCAGACCAGTCGGTACATCCGTTCCTGGCTTCATGACACAACCGTCCTTCTGCCCCGACACCGCCTACTAAAGCCTAATTGGGGTGGTGTCAGGACAGAAGTTCGTAAAGGCGGGGACGACCCCAATTTGATTGCCCAGGGGCCTCTGTGGTAAATCTGGGGTCCTCATATGCGGTTCGCAGGGAGCAATAAATGCGATCCCCATCGTACGGTCCGGAAGATGAAACTTGGGGCTGCCCCATCAATCGACAGTTCTGAAACGCTTTGTTTGCTGGGCCCATACGTATGCACGATGAGTGTAATAACCCGTTCAATCTCGACGAGCACTCCGTCTCCTCGAAATAAGGTCACTTTGCAAGTATCTTATTGGTACTTGTTTAGATAGTACTCACAATTAAGATAGTACTCACAATCAGCATTCAATTTAGCGTTAGAAGTATGCTCTCTCACCTCGATCTTCTTCTTGAGCTCGTCTCCCATAAGCACAGCCAGCCCATGCAGAGTCGCCCCCGCTAGAGGCAGCAGCTTGGCCTTCACTCTCTGCGTGTCCACCTGCGCGAGCGGGAACCAGCCGAAATCAGCGAAACGGAAAGTGGGTCAGCAAGCGAGACCAAAAGGGATCAATGAAACCACAAACTGGGTACCGCCAGCCCATGCAGAGTCGTCCTCGCAAAATCCAGCAGCTTGGCCTTCACATTCTGCGTGTCCACCTGCGAGCGGAAACAACGGAATCAGCGGAATCCTCGGAAGCAACGGAAATACAGCGGAATTGGAGATTGGTTGCCGCTAGCCCATGCAGAGTCGCCCCCGCTAGAGGCAGCAGCTTGGCCTTCACCTTCTGCGTATCGACCTGGGCGAGCGGAAGCAACGGAGTCAGCGAAACGGAAAGTGGGCACCGCCAGCGGAACGTCAAAGTCTTTTCCATTCGGGGTTCGCTTCGGCCACTGCCGCTCTTACTCATCTACATGATCCGAACTTAGTCCATCACGTAAATGAAACGTCTTACACATCAATACAATCCAAGCTTACAGCGCATTTCAGGCATGCTGCACGTTTCAGGTACCTATTTAGGTCTAACTTAGAACTTAGATAGGACCTGATTTAGTACCGCGCTACGACCCGACGAAGCTAGACTATATTTGCGTTACCAATCAACTTAGGCCTTGGTCGGGCCATTCAGCCCAAGACCAACTTAGTTGACATGTAACGCAGGCCTAAGATCGGAGGACTTAGCTTAGTTGATTGGTAATGTTGATCTTACATTGGTCCTATCGAACTTCTAGATTGGACCTAAATAGGTACCTCAAACGTGCAGCTTGCCTGAAATGCGCTGTAAGACATCATGCTTTCGGAAGTTGATAATATTCCCTTACCATGAGCAGTTCCGTCGCGAAGCTCGTCTTGGCCTTTTGCACGGCGACCAGCCAGCCCTGCATCCGGCCCGCGTCGCGGCAAAAGTCCGCGGGGGACGGATTCGACGCCTGCGCCCAACGAAAACGAAGCATGACGTCACGACCCGAAGAATGTCACGACACCTCAGGAATAATAAAATTTACGAATAGTAAGATCGAACCAGACACGAGATCCCTGACATATTTGAACTACCTGCTCCGCACCTAGCCGTATCCACCTTGAACCCCCAAAGTAACCCTTCCCGTCTCAGGCTGGTGATCTTTCTATTCAAAAGCTTACTAATCTTAAAGTGTCATTGGTTGTCGAAAACCTCACCAGGTATCCTACGGGAGTCCACTGCGTTGCGAAGTCGCACTGAGCGCGCGTGCTGACGTAAGGGGCCACGGCCTCGCTGGCGACGACTCGTTCCACGTGGCACTGGACCGAGTCTCTCAGCCGTTGGATGAGGCCTTCCAAGTCCACCGCTTCGCAGACGATCGCCTGCGGAAAGAGAGTGACCGTCTGCGCATCAGTTCGTAGAATGACGATGCGAGCCCAGTTTAATGACGTCATCAGCTTTACTCCATTAAAGCAGCCGTTGGATACGGCTTCCAAGTCCACGCTTCGCGTACAATTGCCTGCACAAGGGATAATCAAAGCGAAAAGCTCAGAAGTCGATGACATTGTATTCTATCGGTGCTCGAGCCGTGCGAGTTTAAATTGCGCTGCGCGGAAACAATCCTATCTAATCTGCCGTGAGCGCAATGTTTTGCTAGACCCTGCCGGAGCGCACCAAAAGCGAAACGCCAACGTCTGGACAGAAGGCTGACTTGAGACCGCAACGGGCCGCTCAATTCCTTTGACGAATTGCCGCCACCTGACCGAGTGATCGAGCTTCAGATGCTCATCGTCAGACCGGAGGAAAACAACCTCTACCGCGGTGCTGCTCTTTCGCGGAAGTGATGAATGCGCGGGCGCCGCTCAAGACGACTTATAATCACCAATTGCAATCCGTTGTAAAAGGGGCACCCTCCGCTTTCCTCTAACGATACGCCATACCTCTAGGCGGTGGTGTCGACTTGCACCAGACATTGAAGTTTCCGCAACTCGGCTTTTGGATGCAACAGAGGTACCCGATCCGAGTTTCCTATCATCGGTTGCACTTCGTTTGCAAAAGGCAGCCTTGGACAAGCCATCACTCTCCAACTAACAGAAGCCCATGCTTTCGCGCGGTGCCATTTATATGAAATCATCTTCTCACCTTTGGACAAAGGCAACTCACCTCTGGATGCGCGACCGCTGCTCGGCTCAAATTCCCCATCGCCGGTTGCAGCTTGCTTGCGAGGAGCAAAACCAATCTGCCTAAGCCCACCTTCATTCGTCAGTTCTAGAACGGGGACACTGAAATGTGGGCGGGGTGCATCCGTTTTGCGTTTCAATGGAGTCTTTGGTTCACCTTTGGATGCGAGAATGGTATTGGACTCACGTTTCCCATCACTGCTGGTGGCTTCTTCGCGAATCTGTAACTTTTCGAACCAACCACCACCTTATTTGAGAGTTTGAAAGGGTAAAGTTGTTAAAAATGCAGCTCACAAATTTCTCACCAACTTTCCGGCTCACCTTCGGATACGCGAGCGCTACTCGGCTTAAGTTTCCCATCACCGGTTGCAGCTCTTTCGCGTGGGTCAGCCTCACAGACCCGCTCGTAAGCGCGCGCACGATCCCCTGGAGCACTCCCTCCAGCATCTGTGCCACGTCAGCAAACGACGGGTCGAAGACCACACGCGTGGCGGGTTCCGAGTGGCCCGCTTCGACACCCTCATTCGACGGAGACGGGTTCGACGGCTCTTGGGGCGGGCTTTGGATTGTTCGTGTCGAAAGCCCCACCGGTTCCAAGGATGACTTTTGGAGAGACGGCGTTTGAGTAGCAGAGGATTCCCCTTTGGCTGGGACTTCTAGCTGAGCTCGAATGCCATTCAGCCGGTCGTTGATACTGCTGCTAATCCTCGATGACGTTAGCTCCTGGTCAACGGCTGACGTTATCACTCCCTCCGTTGTCCGGACTCTCGGATCGACGTCCATGTCTGAAGTCAGTCCCTCATGGTCCAACACTCTGACCGCGAGCGACGCTTGCCCCAGGGTGTCGCGGCCGGCCGCGGGGAGTTCGGGTGCGGGGTTTTGAGGCGCGGCTGCCGCGGCCGGGACTTGCTCCACCGACGCGCTGAGGTGAAGCAGGCCTCGCGGCCGCGACGTGGCCACCGCCTGCAGAAAAATCACCAGACCGTAAGAGGTTTTGATTTTCAATTGCCCTATCGCATCTCACACTTTGTAACGTACAGAGCCTCATCTTGAAGAGGCATCCTACGTATCATAACGGACCAGTGCTGCTCAAATTTCCTCATTGTCACAAGTCCACGCTGTTTGGAGCTTGCACGACGAATCGCCGTTGGTGGTACGTCCTGAACGGGCTTGTTTTTGTGAGGTCGCGCTTAAGTTTGCCGATTCTGACACTCTGCCCCACAATGGCAACAACCAAACGCGTCGAAAAGAACGAGCGAGGGGTTTTGCGTGCAGATCACCTGAGGCAAACAGAGGGGGAAGAAGATAGATATATAAGAGTGTTTTTCAAAAAATTACCCTGACGATAATCATCACACCGAGCATGATTATGATAAACTGATCATGATAGCAACGAAGAAAAAAGTAAAGACTTGGAAAGACCGCGGCTGGGAAAATCGAAGCCTCACGTCCAGATACAGCTGACAGTGCGTCCTCGCCGCCTGCACCACTTCCCCCAGGAGAATCGCGTCCGCGCACCGCACGAAAACACCGAGGTTTCGGTGGTGCCAGAGCGCGCGCGCGCGCGCCCGCTCCTGGTCGGCGCGCTGCTGCTTGAGGTACGAAGTGCTCTCCGCCTTCCAGCTCTTGTCCGGGAGCTCAAACTTTTTCAGCCGCTTGCTGGCGGACTGCTCGGGGGGGGCGTTCGCGGCGACCACCTCGCGAATAACGGCCTTGCAACAGCTGCGCCGGAAAGAAACGATTGGGAATAACAAGAAATAGCTTGATTGACATAAGGATTGGCCAAGAGCTCGAGATTCGCTTTTGGCGGAGTGCTAAGGGGGGGCGTTCGCGGCGGCACCCTCACGCACGACGGCCTTGCAGCAGCTGCGCCGAAACGGCCACCAAGGGAAAGAAGCTTTTCATGACCGAGAAAGAGTATTGACAGATAGAAAATCTCTTGACGGTGGCTTAGATGACTCCCTTGCTGGCGGAGTGCCCGGAGGGTGCGGCCGCGGCAACCCCGCGCACGAAGGCCTTGCAGCAGCTACGCCAGGGAAAAAACGGGGGAAAACGAAGATCGCTTGGAATTATGTGAAAGACAGTCTACTGTCGACTGTGGCTGAAGGGGCCGCTTGCTGGCGGACTGCTCGGAGGGCGCGTTCGCGGCGACCATCTCACACACGACGGCCTTACAGCAGCCGCCCCAAAAGTTAACAGAAAAGTTGAGCTCATGATTCGGAAGAACGATCAACTTCTTCGTAGAATATTGGAAGACATGCTTGATAGAGAGAGGCTTTGCACGAAGGGGATACCCCCACATTCGACGGCTTCGCAATAATACCCCGGCAATAAGACGGCGTCAAAAGTGTACTGTACCAGAGAGGCGGAGCAACTTCTTTGGAGATAAACTCGAACGATGGAAAGGAACAGCCCCATCGTTGCAAGGACACAGGACTACTGATGTAATCTCTTCCAACTCGGTCTAATGCGGACTCTTGAAAACCCCGAAGTGCCTCAAATCTGATAACCAGAAAGTAGGCAGGAGGACAAGGAAGCAAGCGAGGTTGAAGCTGTCTGCCCACTTCTTTGAGCTTGTAAGGAAGACCGAAACACTGTAAGGAAGACCGAGACCTGTTGGTCCCAACCCAGACTGGGCCAATCCATGAATTTTGAAAGACAAGGAAGAGGCGAGGTCGAAGCTGTCTGCCCACCTCTCTACTTCTTTCAGCACTTTGGAGGCGACCTCCTCCGCGGCCGCGGCCGCTCCCTTGCACTCGCTGTCGCGCAGCGAGTTGAAGTGCTTCTCGTGATACGGCGGCGGGCCGAATCGGGACAATAGCGAACCAATAGCGATCTGCAAGGCAGGATTTCAGTGTAAGAGAAAACCTTCAAGCTGTCACCTTGCCAAACCAGTAAATGGTGACTTGAAATGAAACCTGATCCGGTCTTCTCATTCGTTCAGTGTAAATCTTAGTTGAAGTGTGTTTCGTGGTACGGGGGCGGGCCGAATCGGGACAGCAGCGACCCTATAGCGATCTGTAAAACGGTGCTCAATGGGTTTAGGGTGTTCTTGATTCCCCAGCTTGCCAAATCAAATAGTCCGTTTCACAGGTGTTGGAAGTGTAATTTGTGGTACGAGGGCGGGCCGAACTCGGACAAGAGCGATCAATAGCGAACAGTAAAGCCGCCATGATCGTTGTTATACCTGTCAGCTTGCTGGAAAAACATAATTAAGTCCTGTTTTCTCGAGTCCATTGCAAGGCGGGACAAAATGATTGGAAAGATGCTTGAACCTCTTTGATGTATCATTAAATTCTTCAGCGTGGGCGCTTCGCTATTGTCTCTCATATCTTAATAGAGGCAGGTCTTCCAGCGGAGGCAACCGCATATTCTGAATTCTCTCATATCTCTATTAACTGAGAACACACCGACACCTTGACCTAGAGGCATGTCTTTGCTTTTTCTTTTCGAATTCGCTAAGAGATAACTTAGTCACACCGATTGCAGATATCCTTGTGTGCGGCCGGGGCTCTTTTAAACGATCCTTGCACGGTCAACACAGTCGACGGTCATATTCAGAAAACCGTCCGTAGAACCCGACTAGAGTGCAGTTGATAGCCAGCTCACCTGACAAGTCAGGGGACATTCAGTCAAGAGAGCGTCAAATCCAAATCAAAACGGTGAGTGGATTACACGAGAAAGGTAAAGCAGATTCTGACTGCTCACATTCCCTATGCGTGTCGCTTCCGCTTTGACATTGAGGAGCGCCGTCCGGAATCGGTCCGAACTGCAGATCAGGAGCTTCTCCTGGACGACCGCGCTCGCGGCCGCGAACCGCTCCCGTCGGCCCAGCGTTCGCCACGTGTTGAAAGCCTGCCAAGGCGGGGCGACGTCTCAGACACATCCATGGCCTTTCATGTTGTTCAGAAGCAAGCTGGTTGCTTGCAGATTGCGCCTCTCTTCAAGAAAGCTTTATTCTGGAGATTGTCTCGTGAGTCTGATTAGCAGAAAAGAGATCTTTTTACGACCGCGGCCACGCGAAAGTACGCGGATCCTCATGTGTAAAGGCTTTACTTACAGATTGCTCGTGAGAAGCTGGGAGAAGCTTTCAGCACGGGGTCATGCCGGCCGTTGTTCTGGTCACTCTTTCGAAGCGTCTCTTATTTTTGTACCGCCCATACTCTTCAAACTCTGCAATTCTCGCAACTCCAACATCTCACGACTTCCGCGCTTTGGAGCGGGATCTCACCTTGACCAGCGGAAACTTGCCAAAGAAGGTGATCCCCTTGAGCAGGTTGTACACGGACTTCCGCTGGATCCAAACGGACAGCGGAATGGATTCGGACGTCTCGCCCTCGATCAGGTGCACGACTCCGGACGCGGACATGGTGAAGTGCTCGGATCCGGCCATCGACGGCGGAACGACCTGCGGAATGAGCGGAACAGCGTGGCCTCTTGAGTATCTTGAAACGGGAACACATTTGTGAGCTTCTAATTTGGCACCTATTGGAATTTTCTTCACTCTGCGAGGTCAGAAGCTCCAGACTGCTGATACACAAACGGTATTACTGGCAAGGAAACCACAGGTTCGACCATTGACACAGACAAACGGAGTGCAACCACAGACTCAATACGGACGTAGACAATGGCGAACGGGTCGACTACGACTTCGATATATGGTTTCAGCAAGACACCGTCTGAAGCAGGCATTTCACCGAATCTGATCAGTTCGACGAGTCAGGTTTTACCAAAACGACTTGTGATGTTCTCTTAAAACAAGTACATTTCAAATCTACCACTGGCAAACACTGGAAACAAACAAGAGCTGCGGGAAGACATTCCTCAGATCGAAGGTATCAAAATCGTACAAACCTGTAGGTCATACGGATCAAACCCCCCGATCGCCCGTTTTGACGCGTAGTCCAGAAACAGCAGTTGCGGGCCCGCAGAGCTCCCCCCCCGGGACAGAAAATACTTGACCGCATCCTCCCCCGTCCGCACTTCTCGCGGCAAGTTCTTGTATTGCGACGCACCACCCACGGCAGGTTTTCCAATCGTTCGCGGAGAAACGGGCTCTGGGGGGGAGTGCGAGGTAGGGGACATGGGTACCAATTCTGATTTTGTCCCCTGGCTGTCGATGTCAAGGGGGAAGTCCGGTATGGGCGGGGAAGATGCTAATGGGGGGGGCACATTGTAAGGGAGTTTTGGGGGGGGGTGGGGGGAGTTGGGGGGCTGTGTGCTGAGGAGGGTGCCTTCGAGCTCGTGCTTGATAACGTGACTGGCGGTGTTGGCAGCGGACTCGTTGATGGAGATCGGGGTCTGCGATCAAACACTCCCGTTGATCGGATCTTTGCACGTTTCCCAAGCCGTGTATGAAAATAGATACATGATTTGGCCTATGATGAACGAAGGCGATTAGACGACGCACGACGCAGTTCATGTCTCTCTTCACAAGGATTAGTAGAGTCACGTCAAAGTTGAAGACCTATGGTGGCGGGGTTCATAAGAAGGTGTCTGCTTGCACACATTGCTTTTGCCCCTCAATGTCGGGTCTTTTGCCAAGCGGTGTCGCGTCAATCGTTGGTGACACAGACGAAGGGAATCAAAGCGCCAGCCGATCTGCTTGCGCAATCCACTTGGAAAAGTTGTAGAGCCGATCATAACAATTCTTGAGGGCAAAGCCTGCAAGAACCTGTCACTTTATTTTGCAACCTGCTAATGACTTTGCAAACTTGGGTAGCTTTTCTCAACCCATTGCGAGCCTGAATCTGGGTCCAATTGACTCACAGTCGCTGTACTTGCCCGCAAAAAACTGTCACAGAATTGCTTAGAGAACTGCTATGCGCCTGGAGTAGTGCTTACCTTGCCACGGGGAATGGCGCTCAGCATCTCTGGCGCCCACACCGCTTTCCGCTTCCCAGGGGGCAAGCCAAACTCCTCCGCCGTTTCCAGGGGGTCCGTCATGCCCCGCTCAATGTCCATTGTTACCCCCCCATCTTGATCTTGCCCGAATTCAGAAAGAGGCCCCGAGTTGCCCTGACTCAGCTGCGCCGCGCCCACCGCAAAGTACTCATTCTCGTTCCTCCAGCTCGCTTCCATCGAGCTCAGCATCCCCCCTGTTTCCTCTGTCACCTGCCCCCCCCACTTGGATTCCATCGAAACCCCCATTGTCTCCGCCATTTGACCCCCCATTTGTAACTCCCCCCCGGCCCTGATCTTCTCCGTAGCTTGACTTCCTGGACTGTAATCCAACGACCCCCGGACTTTTGCCATTGAGCGAGGGCTCAGATTTAACAGCGACGAGCTCACAGAGTGCGTCAGTACGATGTCATCGTCGCTGCGTGATGTCACCACCCCCCCGGAAGAAAGCGGCCGCCGCTCCCGCCACTCCTGGAGGGGCAGCTTTGTCAGCTGGCCTGGGGTGGCAACTAGGTGCGGGGAGGAAAGCCAGTCCCCCTCCTTTTCCACATTCTCCCTCACATTTAGCGGTTTCAGAAAGACCACCCCCCTACTGTTTGGCCGCATGTTCTCCTCCCTCCCTACGACGGCGTCCACCAGCTTTCTACCGCTGACCTCAGCTTTTCTGAGGTCAGCAGCTCTGCTGACGTCAGCTCTGGCGACGGACACCAGCGGCGGCGTCCGCGTGCTCCGTACGGCGCCATAGCGTCCGACGTCCTCCCTGGAGCTCTCGGGCGAGACCTCGGGAAGGCGGAGCTCTCTCTGTCGCTCGTGATCGCTCTTGCTTCTGTTGCGGGAATTCCGCGCACTCCGCTCCCTGATTGCATTCTGTCCCAAGAGGCCTTCCCAGCCGACCAGTTCTGGAAGGGTTCTGTCTTCGTGAAGGCGTGTGGTGCGCGTGATTACTTTGGGGAGGTGAAAGGGCTCCCTCCCTTTCGGGGGTGACCCGTCGTGGGCCATCAGAGCTGGCTTCCCCTACAAGGAGCTCTTGCATTCAGCTCTGCACACATGTTCAAGGTATTACTAGCTTGTGTTGCTAAGATCTTCCTCAAAACATTAATCATCAAAGAGTGAGGAAGGTAAGGCTATTAAGTAATTAGCGGTCCCAGGGAATCTGATTGACTGAGGGCATCAGCTGTCTGGGCTTGCCTGAGCTCCTTGGCTCTCCAAAATTCGCGACCTTCCTCGCATTCTCGTCATGCAGGCTTGCATTAGCTTCTGAATCTTATCGCTGGTGACTAGGGCGAAGATTAGGGTTTGGGTCCACCTCACCGTCTGCGCGCGCGAAACGCGCAATCCGATGGCGTCGGTTCTGAATATCGCCGAGGCCTGCTGGTAACGGCGTTTGAACGGAGCCAAACCCTCAATAATAGCGCTAGCTAGAGTACCGGTATTAGCAGGCTCCATCAGCTTTCAGTGGCTCATCCGAACGGCAGTGATAACGGCTGTCTGAAAGGGCGGAGGCGGCGACCCCAATGCCAAAAGTGCCATCACTAGTCCGATCACGGCATTTTGGAAGGCAGATCTGCGCAGCTGGTTGTGCGCACTGGCGCCCCGTCAAAGCAGCATTTGTGCAGCCAATTCCATCCTAGGAGCTTCCAGGCTCTTGCTAGAGTAGACGTATTCTGAAAGAGATTCGTTTCCTGAAGGGAGGCAGTGATTTTCAGCTTAACAATGTCGCCTAACTCAGAATCGTCTGTGGAGGACAAGGGGATAGTCGAGGATCGCTCCCAGCATCGTGCAATCAAGACAGTGGCAGTTCTCTTTGGTAAGTTCAAAGTCTTCCTCATCAGATCTGAAGTATTTTGCCTTTATGACTGGCAAATCTTGAAAAAGCGAGGCTGGGTTCGACTCTCTCACTAGGCAGCAAGTTCCTAGCAGCAATTGACAACAGCTGGAAGTCCTGGAACCAAGCTGATCTCAGGATCTGGAGAATTTTTCAAGAGAACACTCCCACAGATACTGGCTATCGTGAAACTCTGGAAACCCTGGAAATCTGCATAACCTTATGATGGCATTGAGTTAGTGTAATCTGCAACAGAGCAGATGCCACCATGAATCATGTTGTTAGGCCTGGCCGATGGGTTCACTTCTGGTAAACACTTTAGGTAAATACCTTAATGATCTCGAGGCCTCAGTTCTTTGTGCCCTGGAGAATTATCTTGATTGGTTGCTTCATGCCATGTCTGACGTTCACTGTGCTCAAGTCCAATAGAAGTGCGCTGGAGGGAAAATTGGGCGCGGCTTGATGAGACGTGGAATACAAAGAAAGCTTCAGCGAGCGGGAGCTTACTCTTCATCTTTCCCTGGTTGCAGCGATGCAGGCCGAGTCGACGCCCCTCATCGAACACTTGAAGCTGACTGTGAACTCAGACCACTTGTGAGTTTTCTGTAACTCGTGAAAGGAAGTTGTCTGTTGTCTTTGCACGCTCTCAGAAATGTTTCACATTCCTGTATAAGTATAGACAACGAATTTGCACGTTTTCAAAAATTTCACGAGTCCTGTATAGGTATAGAGATGAGAAATTACTTCCTGTTGTGCTGTTTTAGGACAAGCTTATGCTGACCTGTGCTCAAGCTGGCTGTTACACCACCAACTAGAGAGCTGGACGATTTGTAGCTTGGGGCAGCTCTAAACATCAGAAGGCCCAGTTCAAGCCGAACTCTGGGATAGCCTTTGGTTTCAACATGTCAACAAGAAGCTGAAAGGCATTGTTTCGCTTTCCTAACACGACCACGATTGGGCAGATCCTGATGGTTACTAACTTCATAGTATCGTTCTTGACCAGGTTTCCAAAGGGATCCCCCTGGATTGTGTACTCCGGGGGCCATGGCGACGTGCACTTCCACGTAATCGTACCGGGAAAGGACGGCGAGACAGGTGTCGATAACGTGGGCACTGTCCCTGCCGCCGTCGCGACATACGCGGCGATCGACAAGTTGAAGCCGGACCTTCTTATAAATGCGGGGACATCTGGAGGGTTCAAAGTGAGCGCTGTTTAAATGAGGGTAGTGACAAGTGGCTAAATGTGAGAACAACGTGTTTGTGGAACAGTCGTTGAGGGGGTTCGATGGGTGGATGTACTTGGGTGGTTCTTACCCGTTCTTTCGGCCCAAGCATAGCGAGTCACAACTGCAGGCTTTGAGGCGTATGCTAGTCTGCAGACTCCAGCTGATGAGCTGCACGTGCCAGACGGTTATAACCCAAAAAAAAAAGTCACAACTGCAGACTGTCAAACATGAAGAGTTGCCAATGCTTCCGTTTCGTTGTGTACTTAATCTCCAGTGCAATCGATTGTTGCTGGTGACAGTTTTCCAAGCTCAAGGGGACCCTGCGCATGAGGGCGGGTCACGGGACACTGTCGATAAAGTGCAAATTCTTCGCAAACGGAAAGTGTTTCCAGGAGGGAAATAACGGGTGCAAGTCGTGGACAGCATCTTGGATAGTGAAAGACCGCTGGAAATGTCAGCTGCTTATGGTCGCTTTTCGTTCCTTCAGGCGAAGGGCGCGGCGATCGGGGACGTGTACTTTATTTCCACCTTTGTCAACCACGATCGGAGGATACCTCTACCGGTAAGCTTTTCGCGAATATCAACTCAGCTTCCAATTCAAAAGGAACGCCTGAGACCCATCGGTTATTGGTTGAGGTTCATGACCTCTGTTTTCCAAAGTGTTTCCTGTGCAGTTAAAAAGAATTTGTTCGGACATGTTGAATCAGTCGCTGAACTTCTTCTGGTAGTGATTGCATGTGCTAGCCGCGAGCCAGGCCACGTGTCTATCTGCGAATCAATCGCTTTCTCTCCAAAAGACGTCAACGACTGCCAACGACAAGCAGTAATTGCATGTGCACATCACGTGCCCGTTTGAGATGGCGGATTTTAACGGCAGACGTCGTCCGGGTATGATTCGCAGGGCTTCGAAAAGTACGGGATAGGAGCAAAGCAGGCAACGCAGGCGCCGAATTTGGTCAAGGCATTGGGACTTAAGGTATGGCTGGACCACTCGGAAAAGATGGAGGACCACCGGTGTCATTGTTCGTCTTCTTCTCTCCTCTCGAGCGTGGCAGCTCTAAGCACAGTGAGGGGAATAGCTCAAGGGCTTACGACTGGTAGTGCCTGTGCTTCAGACGCTGTGACTTATGTGCACGGAAGCGGCCTTCGTTGCCCCTCCGGATCTGGTTGCTCGAGTCGAAGTCTGATTGGTATCTCAAGCGTAAAATGGTGGGTCTGTAGGTTTCGGTTGACGCAATGACGGTTTAGAGACTGGAGTACTTCGAAGGAGGACACACGACACGGTGGCTATCCTTCCTGCGTCGTTGTTCCAACTTTGTTACGACAAGATGTGTCAGAATGCGCTTTTTGTGAGGAGCTCGTGCTTGCCAACTTCCTCTCGATAAACGCAATACGGATTGTACAAACGTTTGTACAAGCCCGATGTTCGCGTTCCGCACACTTGCCAAAATAGACCATTAGTTGGTCAAGTCAATGGGGAGTACTTGGGATTCACAACTTAAAAATCAGAAGCCAAGCAGATACTGATTGCTGTAATGTAGCACCGAGCGCTGATTACGAGACAATAGAACCTGACCTGCTCGTGATAATTTTGTGAGTGCAGGAGGGCATTCTTTCCACCGCCAACTCGTTCGACCTTTCGGAAAAGGACCGGGAATGGATTACCAAGAACGACGCGACGGTAAAGGACATGGAGGTGGGTCATCTTGCATCGTCATCTCACGCCTAGTTGTCTTCCACCTTGGAAACATCGGTCATTGTCGTGTTGTTCTTCTCAAGTGCCAAATTGCGCGTACCTTCTTCGCCTTTAAGATCCGTCTGCCGACGGTGACTGCAGCCGGGCCAGTTGCAGCTTGTTGTGAACACGACACATGATTACGTTAAGTAGGACGGAGACAGATGCTTCGACAAGATTTTCAAGCAGAGACGAGTTTGATGCTTCATCTAGCGCTTGGGTAGCCTCCTTCTCAAGGCTTGGCTACAGATTCGAAAAGCGTCTGCCTTAAGTATACTCAGATGGTCTTCCGTGCTGGTTTATGGTTTATGGTTTATGGTTTATGGTTTATGCTCTCAACGAGGAACTTGAGAGCTCGATGACTTTCACCACTTCAAAGGGAAACAAGCAAAAACTCAGAAAACATTAAAGATCAACTTCTGACCCGAGATTGCTTCTCGCAGGGGTCTGGTTTCGCCTGGGTCGCCGCCACGCTGGGCGTTCCGTTCCTTGGGATCAAAGCGATCACGGATCTGGTAGACGGGGGGAGGCCGACGCAGGAGGAGTTCTTGGAAAACCTCCACACGGCGGCGGCCGCGCTTAAAAGGGTTGTGCCTGAAGTCGTCAGTTTTGCATCAGGGAAGAGACTGAACGAGTTGTGATTGACCTGGGTTCGTATTCTTGTTTTGGTCATTATACACACTTGACTTCATTATAGACGCTTGACTTTTAACAGATCGGTGCGGTGAAGTCACATTGTTATTAACAAACTCATGCTTGGCAGTGGGTTTGCTGAGATACCTGTTGTCAGTCAATTGCGTTGTTTAGAGTACCCATTATTCCAAGTTGCGGGGCGACCTGGTCTTTAATTGAAAAATAGAACGGCCTCATCTATGATGAGCGGGTACGTGGTCTTAATTTCTCTGCATGAAAACACGTCCCTAGGTTGAATCTGTAATATTGTGTACCGGCTCGCGCATCGAGCTTTATCTGCTCGATCGTTTGTCATTTTAAGCATGTGAACGGCTGTTCGAAAGGATAAGACATGCTCCGACAAAACATCCAGTGGTGTACACACCTCGGACATACAATTCAATCATATGACGTATACTCGCCATGCCAATCAGATCGACATATGCATCATACATGAGCCACTGTCGCTATTTGCAGCCATGGCTTTCTCCTCATTGACCGCCCTAAATCTGGCATGCGCCGCGAAAGGAAAACGCTCGTTAACGACATTCGTACACAAGTCGGATTGATGCGCTAGGTGGCAAGTATAAATTCTTAATTATAGGAACATGCATGCCTAGGGGGCTAGATCTGAATGAATACATAGCACATGACGTATACATACTACATGATCTTTAGATGTATTCATATAGCAGGTACCGTCATGCATGATTAAGGCCTCGATCCGGCGCGTAATAACACGTGACCGCAACGGGCGGCATGCAATGCCAGTAGATCGCGGAACATGTGAGTGAATGAAGGGCCCGTAGCTTTGCCGTCCCTCAAACCTTTCCGAGATGTGTCCTCAGTGCCAATTCCACCGTGGCCGAAGTGGTCCAGTTGCGTAATAGGCCAAGCAGCGGCTGCTATCACGAGCTGCTCCAATGCCACAAGGGCTTGCAGAAACGAAACAGTCACTGAAGGTCTTTCGATTTCATAAGCCCACGTGGATCCGATTGAAGCTAGAGAAACCTCAGGGTCAAAACCAACGGTCCACAGTTTCGTTCGCAATGACCGACATTAGTTGTGAGAGCGCATATGGTACAAGGAATGAGTCAACATCCTGGTCAGAGCGTGCTGGTGCACGCAGATGATCCTCTCAGCTTGCATTCGCTAAAGCGCGGCTTGAAAATGGACTTTGCTCGCCCAACTTGAACGGATGGCCTATGCAAGCTGCCCTACCTAGGTTGCACCTAGTGCACGCAATTTTTTCATCTTTTGAGGACGAACACTACCCCGGCTTGACGAGTCTGCCCCAACTTTCTTCGTGCCCACCACTCTTTCCCCCCACTCCTCCATCAGACTCTTCTCCGCCCCTCCTCCGCCACGCGCTGCTCCCTTTCCGCCCCAACATCTTATCAAGGAACTGGGTCTTCGGTTTCGTCAGCTGCTTCTCTATGGCAGCTCGCAGAGCAGCCACCCCGGGGACCCGTTTCTCATCCCCGGGCGATGCTTCCGTCATGGACCGTCTCGCCACGTGCTTCACCAGCGCCGGTAACGGCTCGTCGAGCGCCACGCCTGCCGCCGCGATGGTGCGTTGCAAGATCCCGGATGACTGGATGCCCCGGATGATAACCTGCGCGCATAGCGTAGTCATTTTGCTGACGGGTATGCAAGTAGCTGCGATGTCGGATGCTGAACTTGCCTGGGTTAATGACCTAGCTGCATACAATATAGGCTATCAGAATTAGGCTGTCAGCTTTTTGGAGCGGCTGCCATGATCTGCTGAGAAACTCCGGTCGCTCGGAGGCCTCTGATGAACCCCGCAAAATCAAAGCCGTTTTCTGACCTTCGCCAATAGCGTTTGGCGTCACTCAAATTCCCCAAATATCAGCAGGCAGATGTAGGTGCGAGTTGCTCTTCCCTCCGCTTTTGCAAGCCAAAGAGGGACCGCGGTTCAAATGCAAGCGGCTGAACACGCCAGATACTAGCCAGACATAAGCCTTCGGTTTCCCAAGGTTGCAGTCCAATCATGGCAGCCCCAAAAAAGCGGAAGGACTGGCGAAGCGGACCCAATTGACACGCTCTCGCCCATCAGCCCATCTGAAAGTGGTCGGGCCAAATCTTGATGGGTATTACAGCTTCGGTCCAGCATATCGGCCAGTCCACGTGGCTGCAGGAGCGCCCGCGTAACATGCGAAGCTTGCAGCTTGTCTCCTGCTCTTACTTGAGACGCGACAGCGAGAACGACCCACTTGTGCAGCTACGGACTGATTTTCCAGATCATAACCTTCTTGGGTTGGGCGGCCCGGAAGGCGCACAAGCCTTACAGAAACTCACCTGAGTTGCCCCCGTGACGGAAGACACAAACGACGCCTCAAGACTTACACTTCTGACTCTGAACTCAAGTGGACGTGATAAAGCATCAGTCACTCTATACCGCCACAGGAATCGAAGTCGTGAACATTAAATGGGATCCTTCAAATCCGAACAAACTGACGCAATTTTTGACCAGAGATTGTAACGTCGCCCAATCAGCGGCAAGGACCAAAGGCTGTGTCAAGAGAAACAACGTAAGTCAAGACTTCCTAGATTGACACAGACTTACCTGGGGTGTGTAGAGCCGTCCAAAAAGCCCTTTCGACACCAGGCTGTCAATCTCCTCCCTACTCCAAACCACGTGGTCCTTGTAGAACTGCAAAATGTCCTCCTCGCTCGCGGTGGACGCCACGATGAAGGCCTGCGGGGGAGGATACACGTCAGCAAACGTCAGCACACGTCAGCTGACTTCCATGAAGGTGACTTCGAACTGAATGATTAACAGGGTGACTTATGCAAAAGAGTGGGGCAACGTAACACTGCAAACGTCCTTCTCGCTCGCGGTCACCGCTTTCACAGATGGATTGATGCCAAAAAGAATCCACTTCCGAAACAAAAAAGCAAGATATCAACCAAGACACAGATTCGGGCAATTCCCCAGGAAAATCCAGGAAATCGCCCGTCAGCACCTCCCAACACCCTTCAAGAATTAAAAGGATCAGCAAGCGCGTAACAAAAATCTTCCTCACAGAGAAGGAGCGGTAAAACGAAAATGCTGGCAATGTTGCACCGAAACCGTTCACTGACCGAGAGCGATACTTTTCAGCCCGTCAACATCCTGCATCTAGCATTTCTTGACGTCCTCTCAAGACGAACGATGGCAACGCAGACGCTGGCACAATCTAAGTTAAACCCTGAACTGAGAGCGGTCCTTACAGCCGGTCGAAGTTCAGCATTAAGCGATTCTTGACGCCCTCCTTTGTCAAATCTAGAAAGAAAAGTGGCAACACAAATGCCGGCACAATCGGTCGGCGCAATCTGCCACCATCGCTGTGAGACCGGTCCTTACCAGTCGGTCGAAGTCCAGCATGAAGCACTTCTTGACGTCCTCCTCGGTCGGTTTGCAGCCGCACCGGTTCTTGCGCGTCTTGAGGTCCGAAAACTTGGCGTACGTGTAGTGCAGAACCGGGGCCGTCTCGTGCGTGATCTCCCTGCACCAAGGAGCACTTGATCGGATCCAGATGGCCGTGAGATCCTTACTGTTAGTACTCAAAGCTTCGAAATGTAGACGCCACTCAGAAAGAAGCTTGAAAGGATGCACGAAGGAAGCTCAAGAGATCGTGATCGAGTGATGAGGGCTCTGAAAGCTCAGCATCGAGGTCTTTTCTTCTTCCAGTATTTGTTGGAGCGGTAACTCGTCTCTTTCGAATCGAACTTGTGTTGAACCGAAACGTTAGAGAGCTGGTCGCGAAGCAGCGTTCTCCGTTTTGCTTGACATCCGCATCCCTAACCGCTTCACTTCTTTAGCCGTTGCGCTTAAAAAATGGGCTCTTTGGAAGTCTGCGATTTAGCTTCTTCCGAGCAACCTGCTAGGTTTAGTGAATTATTAGTGTAACTTATCGGTCTGTTGCTGAGTGAAATTAGTCTGATTTAGATGACAATAAAACTAGCAGGTTGGTCGGGAGAAGCTGTAAAAGTGCCAAGGAAAGCTACTACAAGCCAAGCCCTCAAGTAACGACCACTCACACCGGAACCTTGTCGTAGTTGTGCCACCGGTGCGCCCCATTCGGCCTTAACCCGGGGATAACCCGCGCCGCCGACTTGCCGTTCCCGTAGGTTAGGAAGTAGTTAGGGTTGCCCCGGGTGGCCTCCTGGTAGTGCTGGTAGTATAGCGCGTCTGGCACGTGGTCAAAGTTCTTCTTGAAGACGGTCACCTGAAGGGTTTGAATGTTGAGGGAATTCAGCATTGAACAATCTACGAGGTGCGGGAGTAGCTGCCGTGTTACCTGGGGCCAGCCAACTGTAGCAAAGCGCGTCTAGCACGTGGTCAAAGTTCTGTTTGAAAAGGGTCACCCGACATATTCAAAAATAACTGGATGTAAGAATCGAAAGAAATACGAGGTTCGAAGGAGCTGCTCTGATACTTGGGGTCAGCAAACCGTCCTCGCAATCCTACGCGAAGATTGGGAGACCTGAAATCCACTTTGTCAAATGTGCCCCCAGCCTTGGCAATGGTATCTGCCACCTCCTGCAGATTGACGGCCTGTAGAGATTATCTCGTGTGAATAGTAGACTCCCTCGTGTGGACTAAATGTCAGGTTCTCCAAGCTCCGACCGAGCTAACAACGATCCGCTCGATGCTTCTTTCGTATTTGGGACCACCAGATGCACTTCAGAAACCTGAGCAATCAACCGAGATTTGAAAGTCTTGCTGCACGGTAAAAGAAACATCTTAAGGAGATACTTACCCTTCCGCAAAGGGATCCTCCACATCGACCCGCTCGATGATCGTTTCGTAGTTCGGGAACACCTAATAAAAGGGAATTCGACATCCACTCACTCTAAGATTTCCTTGTAGTCGGCGACAAGGACCAGAATCAATTCAAAAACCGGGTCTTCAAATCTTGCTGTACGGAGAAAGGACCTTGCGAAGGAACACTTACCTCCGCAAAGGGATCCCCCACATCGACCCGCTCGATGATCGTTTCGTAGTTGGGGAACACTACCAGATCGACGTCAGGCGCAACCTCCTCCAGGAGCCGCGTCAGGGAGAAGTCTTCCGTGCCCTCGGGGCTCAGCAGCTCGTCGGTGTCAACGTGGATGATCCAGTCCATGCCCGCGTCCTGTTGACACCAAGAAAGAATGACTGACCGAGTGCTTGTCGGAGTGTGCCCAAAGACTTTTGTATCTAAATACCTTCTTAGCTCTCGAAGGATAGCCTCGAAATATGCACACCGATCAGGGAAACGGTCCGACCGCACTCCATCGACACCTGATCAAGACAAGAAACGTTGACTTCTGGCGTTGCATCCTAATGCCGCCCTGTTGACGCCAAGAAAGAATGAATGACCGAATGCTTGTCGGAGTGTGCCCAAAGAATGTCACAACCATTTCAAAGATTCTAACTCTCGGAGAGCCC